CTAACCCACTACACCACTACCACCTCACCTACTCCACTAAACCTAACCCACTACACCACTACCACCTCACCTACTCCACTAAACCTAACCCACTACACCACTACCACCTCACCTACTCCACTAAACCTAACCCACTACACCACTACCACCTCACCTACTCCACTAAACCTAACCCACTACACCACTACCACCTCACCTACTCCACTAAACCTAACCCACTACACCACTACCACCTCACCTACTCCACTAAACCTAACCCACTACACCACTACCACCTCACCTACTCCACTAAACCTAACCCACTACACCACTACCACCTCACCTACTCCACTAAACCTAACCCACTACACCACTACCACCTCACCTACTCCACTAAACCTAACCCACTACACCACTACCACCTCACCTACTCCACTAAACCTAACCCACTACACCACTACCACCTCACCTACTCCACTAAACCTAACCCACTACACCACTACCACCTCACCTACTCCACTAAACCTAACCCACTACACCACTACCACCTCACCTACTCCACTAAACCTAACCCACTACACCACTACCACCTCACCTACTCCACTAAACCTAACCCACTACACCACTACCACCTCACCTACTCCACTAAACCTAACCCACTACACCACTACCACCTCACCTACTCCACTAAACCTAACCCACTACACCACTACCACCTCACCTACTCCACTAAACCTAACCCACTACACCACTACCACCTCACCTACTCCACTAAACCTAACCCACTACACCACTACCACCTCACCTACTCCACTAAACCTAACCCACTACACCACTACCACCTCACCTACTCCACTAAACCTAACCCACTACACCACTACCACCTCACCTACTCCACTAAACCTAACCCACTACACCACTACCACCTCACCTACTCCACTAAACCTAACCCACTACACCACTACCACCTCACCTACTCCACTAAACCTAACCCACTACACCACTACCACCTCACCTACTCCACTAAACCTAACCCACTACACCACTACCACCTCACCTACTCCACTAAACCTAACCCACTACACCACTACCACCTCACCTACTCCACTAAACCTAACCCACTACACCACTACCACCTCACCTACTCCACTAAACCTAACCCACTACACCACTACCACCTCACCTACTCCACTAAACCTAACCCACTACACCACTACCACCTCACCTACTCCACTAAACCTAACCCACTACACCACTACCACCTCACCTACTCCACTAAACCTAACCCACTACACCACTACCACCTCACCTACTCCACTAAACCTAACCCACTACACCACTACCACCTCACCTACTCCACTAAACCTAACCCACTACACCACTACCACCTCACCTACTCCACTAAACCTAACCCACTACACCACTACCACCTCACCTACTCCACTAAACCTAACCCACTACACCACTACCACCTCACCTACTCCACTAAACCTAACCCACTACACCACTACCACCTCACCTACTCCACTAAACCTAACCCACTACACCACTACCACCTCACCTACTCCACTAAACCTAACCCACTACACCACTACCACCTCACCTACTCCACTAAACCTAACCCACTACACCACTACCACCTCACCTACTCCACTAAACCTAACCCACTACACCACTACCACCTCACCTACTCCACTAAACCTAACCCACTACACCACTACCACCTCACCTACTCCACTAAACCTAACCCACTACACCACTACCACCTCACCTACTCCACTAAACCTAACCCACTACACCACTACCACCTCACCTACTCCACTAAACCTAACCCACTACACCACTACCACCTCACCTACTCCACTAAACCTAACCCACTACACCACTACCACCTCACCTACTCCACTAAACCTAACCCACTACACCACTACCACCTCACCTACTCCACTAAACCTAACCCACTACACCACTACCACCTCACCTACTCCACTAAACCTAACCCACTACACCACTACCACCTCACCTACTCCACTAAACCTAACCCACTACACCACTACCACCTCACCTACTCCACTAAACCTAACCCACTACACCACTACCACCTCACCTACTCCACTAAACCTAACCCACTACACCACTACCACCTCACCTACTCCACTAAACCTAACCCACTACACCACTACCACCTCACCTACTCCACTAAACCTAACCCACTACACCACTACCACCTCACCTACTCCACTAAACCTAACCCACTACACCACTACCACCTCACCTACTCCACTAAACCTAACCCACTACACCACTACCACCTCACCTACTCCACTAAACCTAACCCACTACACCACTACCACCTCACCTACTCCACTAAACCTAACCCACTACACCACTACCACCTCACCTACTCCACTAAACCTAACCCACTACACCACTACCACCTCACCTACTCCACTAAACCTAACCCACTACACCACTACCACCTCACCTACTCCACTAAACCTAACCCACTACACCACTACCACCTCACCTACTCCACTAAACCTAACCCACTACACCACTACCACCTCACCTACTCCACTAAACCTAACCCACTACACCACTACCACCTCACCTACTCCACTAAACCTAACCCACTACACCACTACCACCTCACCTACTCCACTAAACCTAACCCACTACACCACTACCACCTCACCTACTCCACTAAACCTAACCCACTACACCACTACCACCTCACCTACTCCACTAAACCTAACCCACTACACCACTACCACCTCACCTACTCCACTAAACCTAACCCACTACACCACTACCACCTCACCTACTCCACTAAACCTAACCCACTACACCACTACCACCTCACCTACTCCACTAAACCTAACCCACTACACCACTACCACCTCACCTACTCCACTAAACCTAACCCACTACACCACTACCACCTCACCTACTCCACTAAACCTAACCCACTACACCACTACCACCTCACCTACTCCACTAAACCTAACCCACTACACCACTACCACCTCACCTACTCCACTAAACCTAACCCACTACACCACTACCACCTCACCTACTCCACTAAACCTAACCCACTACACCACTACCACCTCACCTACTCCACTAAACCTAACCCACTACACCACTACCACCTCACCTACTCCACTAAACCTAACCCACTACACCACTACCACCTCACCTACTCCACTAAACCTAACCCACTACACCACTACCACCTCACCTACTCCACTAAACCTAACCCACTACACCACTACCACCTCACCTACTCCACTAAACCTAACCCACTACACCACTACCACCTCACCTACTCCACTAAACCTAACCCACTACACCACTACCACCTCACCTACTCCACTAAACCTAACCCACTACACCACTACCACCTCACCTACTCCACTAAACCTAACCCACTACACCACTACCACCTCACCTACTCCACTAAACCTAACCCACTACACCACTACCACCTCACCTACTCCACTAAACCTAACCCACTACACCACTACCACCTCACCTACTCCACTAAACCTAACCCACTACACCACTACCACCTCACCTACTCCACTAAACCTAACCCACTACACCACTACCACCTCACCTACTCCACTAAACCTAACCCACTACACCACTACCACCTCACCTACTCCACTAAACCTAACCCACTACACCACTACCACCTCACCTACTCCACTAAACCTAACCCACTACACCACTACCACCTCACCTACTCCACTAAACCTAACCCACTACACCACTACCACCTCACCTACTCCACTAAACCTAACCCACTACACCACTACCACCTCACCTACTCCACTAAACCTAACCCACTACACCACTACCACCTCACCTACTCCACTAAACCTAACCCACTACACCACTACCACCTCACCTACTCCACTAAACCTAACCCACTACACCACTACCACCTCACCTACTCCACTAAACCTAACCCACTACACCACTACCACCTCACCTACTCCACTAAACCTAACCCACTACACCACTACCACCTCACCTACTCCACTAAACCTAACCCACTACACCACTACCACCTCACCTACTCCACTAAACCTAACCCACTACACCACTACCACCTCACCTACTCCACTAAACCTAACCCACTACACCACTACCACCTCACCTACTCCACTAAACCTAACCCACTACACCACTACCACCTCACCTACTCCACTAAACCTAACCCACTACACCACTACCACCTCACCTACTCCACTAAACCTAACCCACTACACCACTACCACCTCACCTACTCCACTAAACCTAACCCACTACACCACTACCACCTCACCTACTCCACTAAACCTAACCCACTACACCACTACCACCTCACCTACTCCACTAAACCTAACCCACTACACCACTACCACCTCACCTACTCCACTAAACCTAACCCACTACACCACTACCACCTCACCTACTCCACTAAACCTAACCCACTACACCACTACCACCTCACCTACTCCACTAAACCTAACCCACTACACCACTACCACCTCACCTACTCCACTAAACCTAACCCACTACACCACTACCACCTCACCTACTCCACTAAACCTAACCCACTACACCACTACCACCTCACCTACTCCACTAAACCTAACCCACTACACCACTACCACCTCACCTACTCCACTAAACCTAACCCACTACACCACTACCACCTCACCTACTCCACTAAACCTAACCCACTACACCACTACCACCTCACCTACTCCACTAAACCTAACCCACTACACCACTACCACCTCACCTACTCCACTAAACCTAACCCACTACACCACTACCACCTCCACTTCACCTACTCCTTACCTACTACACACTCACCCTCTTCTATATATAGGAATCATGAATCATTGTAATAGACATCAATATATCAATCAATAATAATACATACAATTTATTCTCTCTCTTTCTCTATACATTATTTCTTACAATACTAAAAATGAATTTTCAAATTTCTCTAGATGACATAATCTATTCTTCTTCAGGAGAGATTCTCAGCATCAATTGATGATCGCAATCACAGTGCTGGGCAGGTCATGTAAATTTGAACCTAATGTTTGGTGCCATAATTTCACCTTGATTTTGGTGGCCACTAGTTTTCTCAAGTTGGAACATATATATTTATTTTTGTAGCCACTAGCCTACTAATGCTGTTGCAATTTGTTTTTTCTAGTCCATGTGTTTCTATCTGAATTGTTGCTACTGTTGTCATTTTTAGATGATGGATGGGACTCCAGTCAATGTTGATGTCACTGCTCCTGGAGCTATAATTGCTCTGGCTCTGATGTATTTGAAGGTAACTCTGGGAGTACAGTGAGTATTAGATATGTGACCTTTCCACAAAAGTCACCAGCTTGTCCTTCGTTTTTGGTCTTAAAGGGGTTCAATGCCATGAAGGGGATGAGAGAGTGAGCCTCTTGCAGGCCACCAGAAGCCAGCTGAGCTAGGCCTGTGGTGGTCTAGCTTGTCCAATGTTTACTTTAAAACCTTTAATTCTTGATAATTTCTTTTTAAGAATTTGCTTATTTAGCCCTGTGATGTTGCAGACTGAATCGGAGGTGATCGTGTCGAGGCTTTCTATTCCATGTACTCATTTTCAGTTGCAATATGTGAGGCCTGACTTCATAATGCTTCGTGTCATTGCACGGAATTTAATAATGTGGAGCAGGTAAGTATTATTTGCGTAAAGATAGACTAGACAGTCCAATTAGTGGATACACTTTTGAGTTGCTCTCCAAGTTTATTTGGCTCAAGCTTAATATACTCGTATTATGTAGGGTTCATCCTTCTGAAGATTGGATTCAGTCTCAGATTCCTGAAATTATCCAAAATGGTGTCAAAAGGCTCGGAGATGAAATGGGTGATATTGATGAAACTGATGCTGAAGCCTTTGTTCAGGCATACGTCAATATAGTTGCTGGAGCATGTATTTCTCTTGGTAAGTGATCATTTCTACTAATTCATGAAATAATTATTTTGCTTTTCTGTTGCTTTCCTACTACTTTGTTCTGATTATTATTCAGTGGGTCTAGTTTTGGCTTCAAAATTTTGATTATAGGGTGTTTTGTTTCTCAAGTCGTTTTGTACGTTGTTAATTATAACTATACCAAAGTCTCAAAATTAAGCAGCACTGCAAGGAGTAAAGGTGCCTGGACAACAGAAAAATATTGCTGGAAGTGCATTGTGCCCTCTAATGTTTCAACCATTGTTTTGTGGCACATTGTTTTTTGCTGCACTTGTCTCGTCAGTTTTAAAAAGTTTAGCTCTAAGCTATCTAAACTTTTCAGTAAAATAACTTTAGAGACCTGGGTTTGAGTACCGAATTCCTGATGTTCACACCATTAACTTTGGTAGGGTTGAGATTTGCTGGTACAAAAGATGGAAATGCACACGAGTTGCTTTACAAATATGCTGTCTACTTTCTCAATGAGGTTTGGCCTTGACAGTGAAGCTGCTCACTTCATATATACCACTTAAACGAGTTATACATTCTTTGTCCATGTGTCATGCAGATAAAGCCGGTATCTGATACTAGTGGATATACCTTGCCAAAGGGACTGTCCAACTATGTTGATCGGGGCACATTGGAGACATGCCTTCACCTTATTGTTCTTTCTCTTTGTGTGGTTGGTGTAGTTGGTTATAATTATTATATCACTTTTGCACGATCTATGTATAAAAATGGTGCCCAGGTGTCTGACATTGCTTTCTGGAATGGTAGGTTATGGCTGGTTCTGGACATCTGCAGACATTAAGGTTGTTGAAATTTCTTCGCAGCCGAAATTGTGCAGATGGATATACTAATTATGGTATTCAGATGGCGGTAAGTTTCTTGAAATCTAAGCATCAGATCTCCAGTCACATGAGGCGAATTCCTTATACTCATGCACGGACACGGTCATGGCACAAACACTCCTGACATACAAAAGTCTTATGAAAATTGGACATTGATATTTCCAAGATATGGCTATTTCTATCTGCATCCCATGCTCTCTCTTTTAACTAGATCTTCACATATCTTATTTCTACTTTAAGAATGATAAAAAAAAAAAAATGTTGATATAGCCTTTATGGAGCTTAATTTAGTTGCACTTGCTAATTTTGCTTTCCTGGTTGCTGCGAGAAAGTCATATACTAACTTTCGATTCTAGTGTCCAAGTAACTAGATCTTCACATATCTTAAGATAGTTATTTGATAATATGGACACAACCAAAGAGGTATCAGACGTGTCCAATATCCAAGAAGTGTGGGTGTCTGAGATTGTTCGACATGGTCACAAACTTTTTAGAAATGTATGTAATTTTTATATCACTGTGTGGAATACAAGCCTTGTGGTGATGCAAAATCATAGAAGAGAGCTTTCTTCCTGTAGTTCACTACAATCAAATTCCTAAGTACATGGAAAAATCATAATAAGGAAGACACGAGTTTGTGGAGAACTCTCCTATTCTAAGCCTGTAAATCTTTTGATAGGAAAACAATTACAAAGTTGCTGCTTGAGCAAAACCAAACATTTAAGTTGACTAAAACTCTATATTGGGGTAGCTTCTAGAAATTAGAAGGTTTCCATATCAAATGAAGGACTTCACAGAAATCAGGAGAAATGCAACTGGGAGTGCACATATTTGGCGCACTCACAAAGAAAAAGTAGGCATCCACATTGTTGTACTCCGTTAAAAGAAGGTTTTGCCCAATCTTATGAGGCTCACATTTTAAATTGAAAGCTGTGAATTGGTGTAAAAGATCTGGTTGATGTAACTGCAAATTATCAATCTAATTTAACGAAAATGTGCAAAAATAAAGTTCATGAAAATGACATGATTACATGGGGTAGCATGACAAATGTAGGGACAGAGACAAGAAGAACAAAATTGTAGAAACTTGATCATTTTCAAAGGTGTCTACTGATCAGTAATTGAAGCAATGAAGAGAATATGGAGAGAGGGAGGGAGCGAGGGAGATGCAATCTACATGTATATGCCGTTCTTGTTTGTTATAAAAAATGGAATTTCATGTACATCTTACCGTTAAAATTAAGGTATAACCTATCGAAATTGTCTGGTTTTGAGATCTTCGTATTGGATAATATAGAGATCCTTGCATTTATTTCAGGTAAGCTTAGGTATTGGTTTTCTGTTTCTTGGGGGTGGAATGCGGACATTTTCAACTAGCAACAGTTCTATTGCAGCTTTGTTGATCACCCTTTATCCCCGCTTACCTACTGGACCAAATGATAATCAATGCCACCTTCAGGTAAAGTGCGGAGTAACGACTCTTACTTTTAGTTTTCTTTTCTTTTCTTTTCTTTTCTTTTCTTTTCTTTTGAGTGGAGCACAATGAAGGTAATAGGTAGGAGTGAATTGGTATGGAAGTATGTTGTGTGCCCCATTTCAGGCAGTTGCCAATGCTCTGGCTTAGTTTTTCTTTATTTTTTTGGGAAAAGCAATTATTTGGACTTTATAAGATGCAATTCTTCAACAAATCTTTTGTAGTTGGCAAGGCTTTCGTGCTAGAAGTAGCTTATAAGTCAGATGCCCATTCTCTCTCCTTATGGAATTATTTAACTTATTCAAATCTGATATAGCTAACATCTTTTTGTGCATCATATTCGAATGCTCAAACTCCTTAAAGCTGTGTCATGTTGATCGAGAAATCAGTGGATGCTTTGTTTCCTTTTGTGTTCGACTGTATGTATTACTTCTTTAGCATTTTATTACCTGAAGGAAATATGATCTCCAGGCATTTAGGCATTTGTATGTCCTTGCAACGGAAGCTCGCTGGATTCAAACGGTTGATGTAGACACTGGTCTACCAGTTTACGCCCCCCTTGAAGTTACAATTCGGGAAACTGAACATTATGCAGAGACAAGTTTTTCTGAAGTCACCCCTTGCATTCTCCCTGAACGTGCTATTGTAAGTTTTAGTGCTGCTCTTGTGCACAAATAATTTGTCTTCGATAGACTGTATATGATGTCTCTTTTCCTCATTTCATTATTCACTCCCACATGAACTGGTCTCTAGAATATGTTTACAAATTTTTGAACAGACATACAAGTGTTGCTATTGTAGTATTATGCTGAAGTAAATGGTCTTGGATAGATTCTGTAGTGTCAGACTGTCAGTGGTTGCTCATTTCCCTTATTCTCTATCTCTTGAACTGAAGTGATCTATATATCTATACATGTATGCATGCATGTATATGTACAGTGTACACCTAGGTTTATATGGATGGTTGATGAAATAAAGGTACCCATGCCCAGACAGGGAGAAACTGTCAAATGCTATATGCTGGATAATCCAATATGGAAAGTTCGCTTAACTGGAGATATCATTACGTATTAACCTCCTTAATATAATAGTTAATAAGACACCATTTTCTTAGTATAAAGCAACTTCCCCTGATTGTTCAATATGTGCTGCAGTTGAAGACTGTTCGTGTTTGTGGTCCTCGGTACTGGCCTCGAGCCATAGAGCTTACTCCTGAAGGTAGAAGAGATATCATCACTTTACACTTATTACTATATAGTACTGAAGTTTTTATGCCAATGACTAGTTTTATTCTTGTACAGAGAAACCTTGGTGGAGTTTTGGTGACAAGAATGACCCATTTAATTCAGGTGTCCTCTATATCAAACGAAAAGTTGGAGTTTGTTCATATGTGGATGATCCCACAGGATGTCAATCACTGCTGTCACGAGCAATGCACAAGGTTAGTTATGTTTTCCTTTCACACCAAAAGAACATTCAACATCATCCAAACTTTGTGTGATTTCAAAAGTTTGATGCAGGTCTTCAGCTTAACAAGTTTGAGAGCTGGTACTCCATGCAGCAATGATTGTCTTGGTGCATCCACTGTTGATCAGCTGGTCGGTACCTTCTCATCCAATCCAAGCTTAGTTGCTTTCGCCCAACTGTGCGACGACCCTTCCTGGAATAGCAGGTAAGTACAGAAACTTTGTTGCTTTTTGTAAGTGTTCATTTATCCTTTTGTTTAAGCATTTAGTGGGCCTATGATTTTGTACTTCTTTAACAGCTTCCAACATGTTTAAACTTGAGTTTACCTGGCACAATGTAGTTAGTTTAGTTTTGCATATAAGCCTGAGATGGAAGACAAGGAACAAACATACAGTGGCCAATATATGGCCCATTGACATTTTACTATAGCAGAAGGGCATGTTGTTGAACATATGTTTTATAGGTGGGTGAACTTCATCCTGCTTTTACAAAAATTATACATGATTGAATGGGGGTTTATTCGAGGGTGAGATAGTTAGGTCACAATGTAACATGAAGATCTTCCATAGCACTTCATGCTTTCAAGTTGATGTAGGCAGTCCAATGTGATCTCTTTATGGTAGTGGCTCAGGTTCTACCTAAGGTTGCATATACAAGTAATGAAATTAGCATCCTAATGCTAGTCCTAACACTAACCATGTGAAAGCTAGACTTCAAAGGATTTAGGATTTTTGTTACCTTGTACTGGTTAAATGAATGCAAATTGCCATGAGAATTGTAGTTGTAATAATAAACCTTCCATACCATCGTCATGGAAGCGCTGAAATGTGCACCACAATTTGTACCTCTCTCTCTCTCTATTGGTTGACTAGTATGATAACTGTAGTGAAGAATGTATACATCTAATGTGTAATTTTCTTAGTTGATTCTATTTGCATAAAAGAGGATGGCCAGTTCTACCTCTGTTTATACTACCCAACCATTGTCATTATTGCTGTCCCATTGCTGTGATAATTGTGATGATTATGGAAAAGTCTACTGGGGATGTCGCCATGTCATATTTTTTATTGGAAACAAAATTGGATTCTTTACTCTGTTTAAACTAAACCATTGTTGTTCGTAATTATTTTTTGCAAACATGTTTGCAGATCTGACAATAGCTTCCAAGAATTTTGCTTGCAAGTGTTATTAGAGTGTGTGAGCAAAGATAGACCGGCCCTCTTACAGGTAAGTATATTACTTGGTCAGGATAAACTATTATCTTGTTGGTATTTGTTGTTGTGACTGTTCACTAGAGTATTAATTCAAGGAGTGCTTTGGTGATAAATTTGAACTTCGTTGTGCAGGTTTATTTGTCACTATACACAACAATTGGTTCTATGAGCGATGAGGTTACTTGTGGTAGTTCCATTTTAGGTGACTCACTCTTTCTCTCCAGTTTGAAGGTTAGTTTTGTTATCCCAACACTTTCACTTAGAGATCTATCTTCTTTGAAATGCTCTCTTTTTTTGACAATTGAAACTGTTGCTAGGTTTGGTTGCTATACGAGCTATTATCATGTGACTAAACAGCTGAAATATTATTTTTCTTGATGAGAGCAGAAGTATCCAAATGGAATGCTTCCTTTATGTGCGAAGTATGAATTGTTCGATACCAATTTATTTATGTTTATGTCTATTTATTTAGATGGGTGAAAGAAAAAGAACCCCGTGACACAGGCTTAATATGATGCATTGATGTTTGGCCTGAATTAGTTAGGAGATGTTATTTTTGCTTCTCTGTGACATTGAAGGATTTGTTATGAGGAATTATGCCCATGCCCAAACTGCCTAAAGTTGCTAAGGGAGTATTTAGTCCATGTTACAAAATTTACTGTTCAGTGAAGGAAGCATGCATGAGCTTGGTGTTTTTGTTGTAGAAAATTATAAAACAAAGAAAAAATGCTCACCCAACTTGTCAATATATGCTTCATTATTGTTTGATCACCAATTGTCTCAAAAGCTTGAATTGTTAGGAAAACACTCTACATTCCTGTTTTGCATGTGGAGATATGAACAGACATAAAAAGAGAAGCAGAATGCATACGAAGAGAATTAAACTCAAGAGCTTCCCTAACCTATGCTCTAATAGAATGTTTGATCACCAATTATCCCAAAACATCTAAAAATATGAGTAGTGGTTGTCATCTGAATGCTTGAACTGATCTATTGGCTTGCTTTCCTTGACTTGCTTATTACCTGCTTTTATGACAAACTACCAATAAATTGGTAATTTTTTTATCCCTTTCGTCTGCAGCTTGCAATAGCCTACTATGAAGCTTTGCTATGTGGGAAAATTCTAACTTCAAGAGTGGGCATTGTTCAATCTCATTTCGTGGGTTCACTCAGGAAGCGAGTGGAAGAGCTTCTGAATTGTTTTCCGGGATTGAAAAGTGATTTATGTAATTATTTGGAATCAGGGAGATGGCCAAGTGAAATTTCCGAGGAAGGGAAGGCTTCAACATTTCTTTCTTGGTATCTCCAATGGTACAGCGTACCAGCTCCAAACTTGATTAAAGCAGCAGTGGACAAAATCAAGCCCATGCACACATTCACATCAATTCCAATCTTGCATTTGTTATTCCCTAGAACTCACTTCAGTGCAGTTTGTGAGATCGATAGGTTCTTGCTCTCTTCCTAGGTCAATACTGGGCTTGCTTATATCTTACTGTTGTGCAAAAATGAAACCACTAAATAGAAAGAAAGAAGGAAATTTATTAATTATTTATTTTATATTTTGGAATCCCGCTCTCAAGTCGCAATTTTTTTGTCTACACTCCTAGAAGTCGGCATTCTTTCATCTCTTAGTATAGAGAGTTGTTTTTGGTTCAGCTAAACTCAGTAATTTCAGAAGAGCCTTTTGTATAATTTGGTAGATTGTACATGAAACCATGAAATGATTTTTGCTCATGAATGAATGAAGTTGGGGGCTTTTTCCATATTAAGCCTACCTACTAAGTTATTTTCCAAACTAAGTCTAGTTTGGCCGAAATTTTCAAAATAAGAAGCTGAAGCGTGTTTACAAAACACGCTTTCAGCATGTTTTTGGTTCAGGCACACAAAATGAATAAAATCGTAAAAACGTGGTTACAAAACACGCTTTTAATTAAGAAAACGCTGTTCCTATTAGCGTTTTCATCTGTAAGTAAAAGCGTTATTTCTAACCACACTTTTAATATATATTAAAATGTAATCAAAATAAAAGTCAAGTGGGGTTGTAGCTCAAATGGTAGTGCTCCAGGCTTTGCATGGGAGAGGCACGGGATTCAATCCCCCGCATCTGCAAACTCTTGCTATTTTTTAAATTCAATTCAACTCTTTCTTTTTTTTTGGTTTTTCCTTCCACTTACTCTATATTTTATATATTTATCATGTAATTTTTTTATCAAAAAAAAGTAAAACATTTGTTTGGTTAACTTAAAAAATTCTTTATAAAATACAATTTTTTTTCAAAATATCAACATAATTGTTTAAAAAATATTACTATTTAGGTCTAAAAGTTTATTTTTTAGACATAGTGATGTGTCAAGAAAATTATTGGTTCAAAATTAAATATTCTTTAATTATCAAACAATTATCTTTTTGACATATCACTGAATTTATAAAGTGGGTCTACTGATGTGTCAAAAGATAATTGTTTGACAATTAAAGAATATTTAATACAATTTTTTTCAAAATGTCAACATATTTGTTTAAAAAATATTACTATTCAATTCTAAAAGTTCATTTTCTAGACATAGTGATGTGTCAAGAAAATTATTGGTTCAAAATTAAATATTCTTTAATTATCAAACAATTATATTTTTGACACATCACTGAATTTATAAAGTAGGTTCACTGGTGTGTCAAAAGATAATTGTTTGACAATTAAAGAATATTTAATTTTGAACCAATAATTTTCTTGATACATTACTAGGTCTAGAAAATGAACTTTTAGACCTGAATAGTAATATTTTTTAAACAATTATTTTGATATTTTAAAAAAAATTGTGTTTTATAGAGAATTTTTTTAGTTAACCAAACAAATGTCAGAAAGTCTCTATAAAATACAATTTTTTTTGAATAGTAATATGTTAGAAAGTTTTCTATAAAATACAAATTTTGTTGAATAGTAATATTTTATTTAGTTAACTAAAAAAATTCTCTATAAAATACAAATTTTTTCAAAATGTCAACATAATTGTTTAAAAAATATTACTATTCAGGTCTAAAAGTTCATTTTTCTAGACCTAGTCATGTGTCAAGAAAATTATTGGTTTAAAATTAAATATTCTTTAATTGTCAAACAATTATCTTTTGACGCATTAGTGGCTTTATAAATTCAGTGATGTGTTAAAAAGATAATTGTTTGATAATTAAAGAATATTTAATTTTGAACCAATAATTTTCTTAACACATCACTAGGTCTATAAAATGAACTTTTAGACTTGAATAGTAATACTTTTTAAACAATTATGTTGACATTTTGAAAAAAAATGCATTTTATAGAGAATTTTTTAAGTTAACCAAACAAACGTTTACATTTTTTGATAAAAAAAAATTACATAATAAATATATAAAGTATAGAATAAGTGGAAGGAAAAAACCAAAAAGTTAAAAAAAAAAAAAAAAAAAAAAAAAAAAGAGTTGAATTGAATTTGAAAAATAACAAGAGTTTGGAGAGGAATTGGAGTCACTGCTGTGGCACACGCACAGCAGTGACTGTTGTGCTTCATTTTGTGATGCATTATGGGATTATTTTTATGATCTGAACCGTTCATTTTGTAGGGTTTGTTGAGTACTTCAAGCCTACCAAAAATCATATTAATCGGATACCAATAACTATATGATTGGTAACCAAAAAAACAAACAAGAAGTTTTTCTTTTGAATAATAGTATAAAAATATGCAATTCGATCATATAGTTTTTGATATCCGATTAATATGATTTTTGGTAGGCTTGAAGTACTCAACAAATCCTACAAAATGAACGGTTCAGATCATAAAAATAAACCCATAATGCATCACAAAATGAAACACAACAGTCACTGCTGTGCATTTGCCACAGCAGTGACCCCAAGTCCGTTTGGAGATGCAGGGGATTGAACCCCGTGCCTCTCTCATGCAAAACGTGGTGCACTACTATTTGAGCTACAACCCCACTTGACTTTTATTTTGATTACATTTTAATATATGTTAAAAGCGTGGTTAGAAATAACGCCTTTACTTATATATGAAAACGTTAATAGGAACAACGCTTTCTTAATTAAAAGCGTGTTTTGTAACCACATTTTTATGATTTTATTCATTTTCTACGCCTGAACCAGAAACATGCTAAAAGTGTGTTTTGTAAACACGCTTCAGCTTATTTTGGGAATTTCGGCCAAACTAAGCTTTTTAGTTTGGAAAATAACTTAGTAGGTAGGCTTAGTTTGGGAAAAACCCCATGAAGTTGTGTAATTGTCACTATTATGAAAAAAATTTCATTGTAACGCCCTCAAAATAATAACATTAAACTAACCACATTCCTTTATTTCATTGAGTTTCATTACATAAGTATTACATGTTAACATCAAACAAAATGCCCTACGGGCTTACAGCTTTCCAAGTTAACACTTCAATAAAAGAGTACTACTCGTTTACACATTAAGCCCTTGGCTTGAAGTTACATGTAATACATCAAAAGTAAAACAACTACACTATGTCCGCCTCTAGCCTCCCAAGCTATGTCCTTGGAGGTGGCATGCTTCCTGCACCTGAAAATGATATTCCCATATAGGGTGAGCCACAGCCCAGTAGAAATACACTAAACCAACCATGGACAATGACTAAAACATTAGCAATTGATAGTTGGTCAACACTGATACAATCACATAAATAACATATTTATGTCAACGACTTACAAGTCCAAATTACTTTTCATTTTCCCTTTAACAACAGATAAGCATACTAGCTCTATCATCATTTCCACAGATATGTATAAAAACTATATCTCACATTCAGATAAGCATAAAAGCTATATCCACTTCTCAATCAGATTATGTAATAGTCCGATATCCACAGATAAGCATACAAGCTGTATCCACACTCTAACAACAGATATGTATATCAACAATATCCACAGATAGCATACAAGCTGTATCCACACTCTACAACAGATATGTATATCACAATATCCACAGATAAGCATACAAGCTGTATCCACACTTCACTTCACAAAGATAAGCATATGAGCTCTATCTTCACTTCTCTAGACAAGCATATGAGCTCTGTCTACGGAGTACATCCCTATCTCCTCCAAATACCTATCCGGTTTAGAGGTCCATCCCCTATCTTCCCCTAACCGCGGAGTACTTCCCTATCTCCTCCTCTACACATAACGTATAATAAACACATTGGTTCTATATACAATCACACAATACAAACAATTAATGTATTCTAGCAACTGTCAAGTTCCATAACACATTCATTGATTAGTTTTCAGTTGCCTAATCAACATACATTGTCTACAACAATCACGACTATCCGTCACCGATAGCCCAAAGCAGTTATTTCTAAAACAGAAAATAAATGCACAAATGGATATTCAATCAACATTTCATTTCTCATTTCTCATCAATTAATTATCCAATTAATTAAACAATGCAATTAGACCATTTTCATAATTACATTTCAACCCTTAGGTCCCATTTTCTTCAATGATTCAGCAATCATTCATTTTTTTCATTGCTAAACATGCATCTAGGTTTTTTATGAATAAAACCCCAACTTTTGTAAAATTAACACAAAAGCCCAAACTTTCACAAAATTACAAACCAAGCCCAACATCTCAAAATACCAAAATTTAAAGACAAAACCATAGAGAGGAGTAGGTTATCCCTACTTGAAGTTTAAGCCAAAAGGAGATGAAGACTCCAAGATCAACTTGCTCCAAATCCAAACTTTTTCAGATTAAATCGAAGCTCTCAACGCCCTCTATCTTTTTAACAAAGGCCCTAGGCTAGATTCACACCCTAGGGAGATCAAATCTTAGAGAGAGTGCAAGTTTAGAGAGAGAGGGTGTCGGATTTAGGGTTTAATCAAAGAAGAGGACTGAAAAAGTGATGTTTTAGACGCTGCTGTCCGCTGATATAAAACACCCTCGCTCGAGCGAAGGATTGGTCGCTCGAGCGACCAGACACAGAAAACTCTCGCTCGAGCCAAGAAGTTCTCGATCGAGCGAAGAAAAACCCAGACCGCTCGAGCCACGAAAAGCTCGCTCGAGCCAGAAACTACAACTCTCAGGTCCAGAACCGGGGCAACACTACTCTCGCTCGAGCGACAACCTCCTCGCTCGAGCGAAGGACCAAAAATCTGGGCAGCAACACTAGGCTCCCAAACGCAACCAACCTGTAACAAACCTGCCCAACACATCCCATAACTCAAAATACAAAGTAAAGAGGATGCAAACTAGGAAATAAACAACTACCAACATTCACGGACACATGTCCGGATCATTGTACAACAGGGGTAAACCCGGGATCGCTATATTCATCGTGTAATCCATGTTATCAAAGGGTTTCGCTTGTTGGGCCTTTTCCCAAATTAAGTCAAAATAGCAATTTATTTTCCAAACTAGGTCTAGTTTGAATGGAATTCCCAAACTAGGCTAAAACGTGGTTGTGAACCACGCTTTCACACTTTACCTAGCCCTCGCGCGAAAAATTTGTAAAATCCTAAAAATGTGGTTACAAACTACGCTTTTAATTAAAATGACGTGGTTACAAACCACGGTTTGAAGTAAAATTTATTTTTTAAAAAACGTGGTTACAAATCACGCTTTTTAAGCAAAATGTGAAAACGTGTTTTCAAAACACAATTTCAATAAAAAAAATCAATCACACTCCATTCTCTCTCTCTCTCTCTCTCTCTCTCTCTCTCTCTCTCTCTCTCTCTCTCTCTCTCTCTCTCTCTCTCTCTCTCTCTCTCTCTCTCTCTCTGTGACACATACACACCCACAACACTCACACACTCACATATATAATTGAAACAACCATACATACGTATGTATATAACCTGCTCAAAAGTTAAAATGATAATTATTTTTTACCCTTAAATGATAATTATTTTTTATTTTTTAACCAAATTAATTTTTAATTTTTTTTATAAAAAATGTCTAAAAATCAAACCATACATAGTCTAAAAATCTTTTGATAAGTCATTTCTTACGTTGATAACTTATTTAATTATTTGTTAATTTTAAGACATTTTTACCATATGAGGCATGTTTGGTAACCATTTCGTTTTCAGTTTGATTTTAAGGCATTTAAAAATCAAACTATACATAGCCTAAAAATCAAACTGAAAACGAAATGGTTACCAAACATGTCTCAGATGGTAAAAATATCTTAAAATTAGCAAATAATTAAATAAGTAATCAACGTAAGAAATGAATTATCAAAAGATTTTTAGGTTATGTATGGTTTGATTTTTAGAATTTTTTTTAAATTAAAAATTAATTTGATTAAGAAATAAAAAATAATTATCATTTAAGGGTAAAAAATAATTATCATTTTAACTTTTGAGCATGTTATATACATACGTATGTATAGTTGTTTCAATTTAATTTATAAAAAATCATCTCTAACCACTCGAAAGATGAAAATTATATAAAAATGATTTATATTTACAAAAATTATATAAAAGTTATTATTTGCTATTATAAATTATTATTATATATATTTAATATTGGTCTCAATTTTATAAAATAAAATTTATATATATTAAAAATTATATATGTGAGTGTGTGAGTGTGGTGGGTGGGTGTGTGTATATGTCAGAGAGAGAGAGAGAGGAGTGTGATTTATTTTTTTATTGAAAACACGTTTTCACATTTTGTCACGTGTGGTTTGTAATCATGTTTTCTGAAAAATAAATTTTACTTTAAAGTGTAGTTTGTAACCACATCTTATTAATTAAAAGCATGGTTTGTAACCACACTTTTAGGATTTTACAAATTTTTCGCGCGAGGACTAGGTAAAGTGTGAAAGCGCGGTTCACAACCACGTTTTAGCCTAATTTGGGAATTCTGTCCAAACTAGACCTAGTTTAAAAAATAAGTTGCTATTTTGACTTAATTTGGAAAAAGGCCCTCGATTGTTTTTAGTATGGTATGAGTTAATGATCTATTTTGATATTTTTTTGAAAAAAATAGTGATACTATTTTTACATTAAATAAAATTTAAAATTTTCGAAAGTATCATAATCATCCAATAAGAAAGGTTTTTGTTTTTTCAAATCAACCAGTTGAAAACTTATTGAGTGTCCTTTTGGGAAGCAATAAAAAACGCCACGTTTTTTATTCATGTTCCAAAAAAGCTCCCGGCCCAAAACGTCACTTTATTTATTTGGCAACTTTCCAAAACGCAACACTGAAATTACAGTTTGGGCCTATGAGACAAAATTGAAAAAGTAAAAAATAAATGTTAAGGAGGATATTTTGGTCATTTTGAAGTGATGTGACACTTTTAAAAAATATTAAATTAAAAATAAAAAAATTAACTTTTTACGAATTTCTCAAATCACTTTCAAAAAAAGTCAAAAAAACTTAATAAAAAGTCAAAAATTAATTTTTTACTAATTTTTCAAAACACCTGATTCTAACAATTATAGATATCGGACATATGAATGGGAATATTCTTGAAATTCAGGAAGAAAAAAGGAAAATGAGTCAGAAGAAATTTCTTCACACAAAAATTAACTTCGGGATTGAAACTAACCTCCTAGACTTCTAGTAACAATAGATGCCCACTTTCTATGTATTAAAAATTTGCTGCGCGGCTCCAATTTTATTTTGTTCGAATGTCTTAAATTTTGTTTGTCGATCGATTGGTGTGTTGTTCGGAAAGAAAACTGACAGTTGTAGTTGACAAAGTGATTGTGATAGACAATTATTGTACTGATCGTTTGGACGGTTAATCGGCAAGTATAAATTCGAGCCATTCGAACAAATTCAATTCAAACTACTAATCTTTATTCTAAAATTTTATATAATTATGTTAAATTTATGAATTTGTTATATTTTTTATTTAAATTTTTAAGAGAAAGGTATAATTTATATAGGGTAAATTACATTTACACTTCCTGAGGTTTGTATTTAATACATATTATCCTTGACGTTTGGGAAATTACACTAACCCTTTGTCATTGTAATTATTTAGACGGAATGAAAATATTGAACTCATGTACTCCTTCTTTTTTTGCTTCGCTTTGCTTTACTTTCTCTTTTTTTTTTTCCTTTTCTTTACTTTCTTTTTTAAAAATGTAATTTCTTTTGTTTTTCTACTGAAAGTTATTACCTTTTATATAAACAGAAATTTTTGAAATGAGATTATTAACTATAACGGTGTGAATGTAATTTTTCAAAACGCCAAAGGATAAGTAGTAATTAAACCAAACCTCAATAGGTGTCGATCTAATTTACCCATTTATATATTAACAATCATATTCTGTCCAAAATAAATAAATAAATAAATAAACAATAATAATAAAATTAAAAATATTTTCTTTGATATATTGGGTGGTTTCAGTGCAGACAATGGTAGCAGAGGCACTATATATATCGATGGAAGTCGCCGGAGAGCAAATCAGAGTCCAATCCCTCTCCCAAAACGATAAACCCCATGTCCCCCCACAGTACATCCAACCTCCACAGTACCGACACAACGCCGACACAGTCGGCGGTGGAGGTGGCGGCGATAAAAGTATTCCGGCGATTGACCTCGGCGCCACCAGGGCTGACCTTCATGCGGAGTTGGATCGAGCCTGCAAAGATTGGGGTGCGTTTCACGTGACGAACCATGGTGTTCCGATCCAATTGCTGAACGAGATGAGGAGAGTCGGTGTGTTGTTCTTCGAGGAGTGTCCAATGGCTGAGAAGCTCAGGTACTCTTGCGATTCCAATTCGTTTGCTTCTGAAGGCTATGGAAGCCGTATGTTGGTTTCATCCAATGATGCAGTGTTGGATTGGAGAGATTACTTCGATCATCATACTTTGCCTCTTTCTCGCCGGAATCCCGATCGCTGGCCTCACTTTCCTCCTAATTATAGGTCTGTTCTCGGCCTCTTGCTCTAGATCTTCTCGTTCATGTTGTTAATTTGCTTTCACTGTTGTGTTTGGTTGCTGAGAAAATGAACAAAGGAAAAGAAAATTCCAAATCCAATGTGATTTTTTGTTCTTTTTCCCCCTATAGGCATTCTGTAAAAGCTAAAAAATAATAAGTATAATTAAAATTAAAATCGATTCAAAAATCGCTTCCAAGTTCTTACTCAAAATACTTGTATGAAGAGTTTTCTACCAAAGTTGAATTTTTTCAAATCATATTTCCCAGAAACTTGTTTTGAAATAATTTTTCGATGAAAGGAATGTTTTTTGAAAACACAACTTCAACTAATTTTTTTTTTTTGAAGTTGTGGAAACAGCATGAATTTGGAAAATAAATTTATAACAACTGTTATTTGGGAAATATGATTTAAAGCAAATCAACTTTGGTTAAGAGAAAACTCTTGTATGAGGCTCTCTGTTGGTTTGGCTGCTGCTTTTACTAGAGATTATTTGTGGGTGGGTTCTAGGAAATGGTACAAACGAGATGCAAAACAAACAAAAAAAATAATAACAACAAATTGTTGGTTTTTTTGTTTGTTTGTTTTTTTTTTTTTTTTGGGTATTTGGCTTTGGTGTGAATTTAGTAGTGTACTGCAATTTAAATCTCTATGTGAAATAAGCTAAGCTAAGTGCTGTAAACAGGGAAGTTGTAGCAGAGTATGGTGATCGTATGAAGGTCCTCGCTCAGGGGCTCTTGAGCTTGATATCTGAGAGTCTAGGCCTGCCATCTTCACGGATTAAAGAGGCCGTTGGAGAATTCTACCAGAATATCACAGTTAGCTATTACCCACCTTGCCCACAGCCAGAGCTCACTCTTGGTCTGCAAGCTCATTCAGACATGGGTGCCATTACCCTTCTCATCCAAGATGATGTTGGGGGTCTCCAAGTTCTCAAGGATGGTGAATGGGTAAATGTACATCCTTTATCTGATGCCATTGTTGTCATTTTGGCTGACCAAACTGAGGTATTGCTTCTCATCTTTCTCTGCAGTTCTAGTCTGGATTGTTTTCATGATTTATTTTCTTTCTTAAAGGTTTGTGTAATGACTCTGGATTAAGATGTTTCTGACAATGGATATTTACATGTGATGAATTTCTTTACGTGATAGTTTTTGGTAATCCTGAAGGATGTGGATGACTTGGATGTTTGGATTGCAGTTATGTAATACCCCATGGGTGAATGAATAATGATATACAAACTGACCAAGTTTAAGATCACTTGGTGTGCAGCAGGTGTCTAGTGGATTTATGAATTTGTACCACTAGGCTATCATAGACTCCATCCAGCAGTCATGCTGCTGAATTTTCCCACGCTACTATGCCATACATTTTAGACTGAGCTACTATGCCGCATATCCCAGACCAAGTTATCATGCTGCCCATTTTAACCGAGGCTACTATGCTACTGATGTTTGACTAGGCTGTCATGCGAGGCCACCATTTCAGACCAGGCTATTCCCTTCAATCCATGTATTTTTGTCTTATTTTTGTACTTTTTTTTTCCAAATCTGCATATTCTTCAATTAAAAGTTTGGTGGGTCCAACAATAGATACACACCCGCACCAGTGTACATAGTAGGAAACCAATACATGCATGAATGTAGGACTTTTCTCTTGGAAACTAAGAGGAATGATTTAATGGCTTAGCAATTTTGGTGACCATTCCCTAGACCCACTAATTTGTAGCATTAGAATTTATTTTTTAATTTTTTTTTTTACCCCTAAAATGTGAGCTGAATTTGAAGTGGAAATCTATCCAACCTAGTCTTCAGATATATTTCTGCATACAAATGTGGTTGCTTGCTTCTAGCTAGCTATTTCTTTAGTTAGAAGGTAAAGTTTTGCTACCTTATCATTGTAGAGATTTGCACGTAGAGCTGATTGCTATCCATACACTATTTTGAAGCAGTTGTGGAGGGTTGAATACTTGAATATAAAAAAAGCTGGATATTATATCACGAAAAAAAAAAAAGGACTTGAAAGGAATGGGGTAGAATTCTTTTTATTTGAAAATAAAATATGCATTGAGATAAATGGGAGCTTGAAAGAACTTTATTTTTTTCTTCCAAATGGTAATATCTCATTTCATGTCTGATTGGAGGATCCTTTGCCTGCAGATTATAACTAACGGCAAGTACAGAAGTGCTGAACATCGGGCCATAACTAATGTCAACAAGGCACGATTCTCAGTTGCCACATTTCATGACCCTGTGAAGACAACGATAATTTCCCCTGCTGCTGAGCTCATCAGCAACTCTTCTCCTCCCAAATACTGCCAAGTTACATACGGTGATTATGTCTTATCGTGGTACACAAAGGGCCCCGAAGGGAAGCGGAACATTGATCGCCTCCTACTATAGTTACTAGATTGTAAACATCATTTTTCCCTTTTGGCTAGACTTTGAAATGACATTCTTGTATCGAATAAAGTGAATTTTCATGAAGTTCTATGAGGTACCGGTAAAGATAAAAAGGGTTCTTCAGGTAATTTGGTACTTCTGTTTTGTGCAAAGGGTTTAATAGAAGATCTCATTACTCTTTGTTCGAAAATCACAAATGTCTCTGAGTTGATATTCAACCACAAGGTCTCAAGTTGAGTATCTAGCTATTGCCTTTAAACATGAAAACATAGTAGCTCTGTTTGCTTTCTTTTCATACTCTGTTTTCTGTTAAAATTAGGCACCGTTTGGGAAGGGATTTTGTTGGTTTTTTTGGTTATTTTAGCCACAAAAGACAAAATAGACTATTTTAGTCACAACAAACAAAACATCACATCCAACTCATAATCATTACATTCTTCTCTCACAAAAAAAGTCAAAAAATCCTTCCCAAATCAAGTTTTTTAGTTCGGACTAAAATAGTTAAAAAGTTAACCTACTTTCCAAACCCACCCTTAGTTTAGTGAAAATAAGTAAAATTTTATTTTTATATAATTTCAAAAACTGTGTTTGCACAAAAATATATATGTATTGCACAAAATAGTTATTATCTCAATAAATTTAAGTCTAAAGTATGCATTCATCAATCAGTGCAGCCACAGCTTTTAAGGGTTTTTTGTCTCACTATGACCACCTAAACTTCACCAACTTTCTTGAGATAGGATCGCTCAAAATCACAATCACCAAATACAATGACACTTTATTAGATTTATAAAATCGAGAAATATGGGAAAAAGAAAACCGATATTCTAAAGTCCAAAGTGTTTCAAACATCTCTTTTTTGAAAAACTAAAAAAATTCTAACATTATTGTTTTGAGTAAGGACACTTTTCATTATATAAGAGCATCTCCAACGCTTAACTTCTTTTTTCATCAAATTTGATGAAAAAAATGATGATTTTTTCAATTTGATACGAGGCGCTCCAACGGTGAGCATCAAAGCAGAATTGGGGAGGTGGTCGACCGGTTTGGGCAATTTTTTTTTTTTTTTTTACCTGTTTGAACATTTTTTGACCGGTTTGAACCTAGTTATTTCAAAGGGAACCGGTTGACCAGGCAACCGGCCGGGCAACCGATGTATCTCTTTTAACGGTCAGTAACAGTGATTTGGTAAAATTCGGAACTTGTTCTCAGTTTGATACTTTTTTTGCTGATTTCTCAGTTTGATATTCATTTGATGCAACGGTTGGAGCATGAAAAAGTATATTTTTCATCAAAATTTAAATCTGATATCAATTTTGGTTCACCGTTGGAGATGGTCTAATGAACTAATAAATGAGTTTTTGGTATTAAAGTCTATAATTTTAGTAAAATTACTCATTATCCAAAGGAGTTTTTGGTATTAGTCTAGAATTTTAGTTTAAAAATTGAAGAACTTTACATAAAATATTTTGTAAATGTAAGAAAAAAAATTATTTAAATTAATATTTTAAAATTTATAAAAATTTCTAATTGAGGTTTCATCTTATGACTGGTAGACGGGTTTAAAAAAATTTGACTTTTTTAAATTTCATTTTCAAAAATATTTCTAAAATTATTAATTATAAATTTCACATACAATAACTATTCTAAACTATTTTTAAATTCAGCCAATATTCTTTATTATTTACTAAATTAAACCATTCAAAATCACAAAATAAATGAATTAGGCTTCGTTTGACACGAATTATTTTGGCCACATTAGTCAATAAAGACAAAACATATTAATTTAGTCAATAAGATAAAATATCATATTCAAACTATAATCATTTTACTTTTTCTCTCATAACCATCAAATCAACTATAAAAAAATTCAAAATTTATCTCAAACATAAATTAGGTTAAAATAAGTAAAAAAAAAACTTTAAAAAATCAGGATAAAAAAGTTTAGGAGAATTCTACCATACATACCCCTACCATATGCAGCTTTGTTATGCTATTTTTCTTTAGTTACAATTACTTTTTTTCTTTAATTATGACATTATTTTAATTATGACTCATGAGATTTTATTATACCTCATCTAATATTGAATTGTAACTTTTTTTTAATCATAATTTAAAAAATATAAAATTTTACTATTTTCTTCTTTAATTATAAAATGTATGTACATAATAATCTTTCTCAGAAGTTTATTCCAAACCAACCTTTAAGGCCTCGTTTGACAACTTTCAATTTTAATAAAAAATCAAAAAATACTATAAATTATTTTATTATTCTTTATTTTTTTATATATCTTTTCATAAAAAATTAAAAAAATTATTAAAATAATCGGTTTAAAAAAGGGATTTTTATTGATAAGTCCAATTTAGAAGTATTTTAACTCAAGAAGTCCATGAAGGAAATTTTTAACCCATTTAGTCCCATGTATGTATAGTTTTATTCCATAAAGTCCATTTTCTTGATTTACACTATTTTCTTGGACACTTATGCCATTATATTCAATTTTGATACCTTTATAAATATTTTTTGAACGATTCGCAATTTAATGATGTGAACATTCATATTTTAAAATTCACATTTGTAGGAATGTAAAATTGGCCCGTGGGCGGCCCGAAACCCGCCCGCGAGCTGGGGCGGGCCCGACCCGTTGACAATGTGAATATTCACATTGACATATTAACATTCACATTAATAGGAGTATAAAATTGGCTCGCGTCCCGTGGCGGCGCGAAACCCGCTCGCGGCCCATGGGCGGCTCGGGGCGGGCCCGATCCAACCCACTGACAATGTGCATATTCACATTGACATGTTAACATTCACATTGATAAGAGTATAAAATTGGCCCGCAGCCCATGGACGGCCAAAAGCCCGCCCGCGGCCCGGGGAGGGTTCGGCCCGGCCCGTTGACAATGTGAATATTCACATTGACATGTTAATATTTACATTGATAGGAGTGTAAAATTAACCCGCGCCTCGTGGCTGCCCGAAACCCGCCCACGGCCCGTGGACGGCCCGGCCCGGCCTGTTGACAATGTGAATATTCACATTGACATGTTAACATTCACATTGATAAGAGTATAAAATTGGCCAGCAACCTAGGGCGGGCTCGACCCAGCCCGGCCCGTTGACAATGTGAATATTCATATTGACATGTTAACATTCACATTAATAGGAGGTAAAATTGGCCCCCGTCTTGTGGCGGCGCGAAACCCGCCATCGGTCCATGGGCGGGCCGGGGCGGGCCCGGCCCGGCCCGTTGGCAATGTGAATATTCACATTAACATGTTAACATTCACATTGATAAGAGCATAAAATTGGCCTGCGGCCCATGGGCGGCCAAAAGCCCGCGCCGCGGCCCGGGACAGGCCAGGCCCGGTGACAATATGAATATTCACATTGACATGTTAGTATTCACATTGATAATAGTATAAAATTGGCCCGCAGCCCGTGGGCGGCCCGAAGCCCGACCGAAGCCCGAGGCGGGCTTGGCCCGACCCGTGACAATGTGAATATTCACATTGACATGTTAACATTTACATTGATAGGAGTGTAAAATTAGCCGCGCGCCCCATGGCTGCCCGAAACCCGCCCACGGCGGGCCCGGCCCGGCCTGTTGACAATATGAATATTCACATTGACATGTTAACATTCACATTGATAAGAGTGTAAAATTAGCCCGTGACCTGTGGGCAGCTCGAAGCCCGACCACGGGCCGGGGTGGGCCTGGCCCGTTGGCAATGTGAATATTCACATTGACATGTTAACATTCACATTGATAAGAGTGTAAAATTGGCCCGCAGCCCGTGGGCGGCCTGAAGCCAGATCGCAGCCCGAGGCAGGCTTGGTCCGACCCGTAACAATGTGAATATTCACATTGACATGTTAACATTAACATTGATAGTAGTGTAAAATTTGTCCGCTGTCCGAAGATCGCCCGCAACCCGGGGTAGGCCCGGACCCAAACCTGGGTCGCCCCGGGCCGCCCATGGGACGCGAGTCAATTTTACACTCTTATCAATGTGAATGTTAACATGTCAATGTGAATATTTACACTGTCAACAGGCCGGGCCGGGTCCGCCCCGGGCCGCCCACAGGCCGTGGGCTAGTTTCGGGCAGTCACGGGGCGCGGGTTAATTTATACTCTTATCAATATGAATGTTAACATGTCAATGTGAATATTCATATTATCAACGGGTCGAGCCGGGCCCGCCTAGGGTAGCCCACGAACCGCGGGCGGCTTTCGGGCCGGCCACAGGCCGTGGGCTAATTTTACACTCCTATCAATATGAATGTTAACATGTCAATGTGAATATTCACATTGTCAACGGGCCGGGCCCGGGCCCGGGCCCAAGCTTCGGGCTGCCCACGGGTCACGGGCTAATTTTACACTCTTATCAATGTTAATGTTAATACGTCAATGTGAATATTTACATTATGAACGGGCCGGCCCCGAACGGCGGGCTGGCTTCGGGCCGCCCATGGGCCACAGGCCAATTTTACACTCCTATCAATGTGAATGTTAACTTGTCAATGTGAATATTCACATTATCAATGGGCCGGGCCGGGTCTATTTTTTTGGCCTGTGGGCCGGCTCGGCCCGACTCGAATTTTTCCCGGCACCCACGAGGATCGACATGGGCCGGGCCCCTACACATTGACGACCTGAACATTCACATTGACAGTGTAAACATTCACATTAGGGGTATTTTGGTAATTATGTCAACCATAGGGCTTATTGAAATATAAGAAAATAATGTGAACTAAATAGAATATAAGTAGATGAAAAGAGTATTTTGATCTTCTTATCTCAAATTGAACCTAATGAAATAATAAAAAAGAATATGAATTAAATGGAATAAAGTTCTTAAAAAATGAATTTATCAAAAAAGTTTCTGTTTAAAAAAGGGGGCTTAATAAATAAAAATAAATAAATTAAAAGCCACTTTGGGCGTTGATTCCCGAATCGAATCCTCTTCACGGCGAAGGAAGCATTTTCTTGAGCATCGACGGCGAAAGACCCTCCTACCCGCCTTAAACCGCGTCAATTACATTTCTCTTTCTTTAAGACTTCTCTCCTTCCTCTCTCTCTCTCTCTCTCTCTCTCTGCACTCTATTGTCCATCATCACCACCGCCCACCTCAGAGCACCGACGATCGCCACCGCCGGTTTCAGTCTCCTCCTTCCGCTCCCGATCTCACTTCTCTTTCCACTGTTACGCGATCTCTCACCAGGTCTGTCTCTCTCTCTCTCTCTCTCTCTCTCTTCGTTGTTGTTTATTCGAAATTTCTATTATATATATATATATATATGGTAGAGCCTTGATCTTAGATGCTCGTAGATTGTCAATATGATGTTCTTTTTCAGGCAGGACGGATTGTGTTCTACCCTGTGATTGCATTTTCCCCTATTATTATTAATTAATAAGAGTGTTAATGGTCTTGAATCTCGATCCAGGCGAAACTAAGGATTTTTTTTTTTTTTCTCTATAAATTTTGGTTCAACTGTTGAGATCTAGAAGCCTTGGATGTAAGTTAAAGACCATTTCTTTAACTACAGTCATGATTTTAGTGTCAGATTACCCTTGGTATAAGAATTTTTTATTGCTACAATCTACAAGATTCCAGACCCATTCTAGATTCTCTGCAAATTTTGTTTGTTTGTTAGTGTTGTTGTTTGTCTTTTTTTCATTTTGTAATCTATAACAACTCCAAAAACAGAGCTCTATATAAAGAGTTTTAAGTGTGTGTCGTGGGTTTGCGGAGGAAAATTGAAGATAAATTACGTATAAGTTTTCGGTGAGGGAGGAATGATGGGGTTGCAACGGGGAAGGGGATGGTGGTGGGTGAGGGAGGAAGGAGAGGGGGAGGGAGGAGGAGGGGGCTTTAGCTGGTGGTGGTGGTGGGCGTGAAGTGCTGGCAAACAGTGGTGGTCTCATTGTTGGTAGTGATCGGTTGGTGATGGTAGTTGCAGTGTGGGTGTGGGTTTTGGTGTTTAGTGGCAGTGATCAGTGATAGTTGGTGGTGGTGCTGCTGGTGGTCAAAGGGAATGAGCAAGGGAGGAAGGGAGAGGTGGTCGAGAGAGACAAAAGAGAAAAAAAAATAACTTCATTCCCCCCCCCCCCCCCTCTGATTCCCTGAAGTGATTGCTATTTTATAATGAACTTCGTTTATAATAATCTCCATTCAAAACTAGTCTAGAATTTTGGTATTTGTATTTCTTGCTTGCTAGTTTAGATTTTGATGTCACCTGTAGAAAATGGATCTATTTCTTGTGCTTACTTGGACCTGACCCACAGGTAATGGCTGGAGAGTCCGACAAGGCCCAGGACACTGGAAAAAGCTTGGATGTCCCTGCTACTGAAAAGAAAGATAGTGTGACCGTTGTAAAGAAGAAGCAGAGAGGAGTAATATCTCGAATTTGGAATAGACTCTTTAGACTACATGGTGATGATTTTGAGAAGAGGCTGCAAAACATTTCCAAAGAGGAAGCTGCTGTTGTTGCTAAAATGAAGAAGAGATCTCAGAGTTGGAGAAGGATGATCAGGCATCTGATAATATTCTCTGTGGTTTTCGAGGTAACATGTGTTTTCCTTTTTGTTTCTGTAAATAGGGACAACAGCTGTGTTTTCTCTTAGTTAATCCTTCTGTGCATCAGAAGGAGTAACAGATGGATGTCTATTGTCTATTTCCATTTTACTTGGAGAAATTAGACTTATCTGGTTGGGGTACGTTTCATCTGGTGCTTGTTCAAACCTAGAACCAACCAAAACAAGGTTGCTTGTAAGGGCAAGCTTCAAATTTGAAAATTTGAGTTTGCCTGGTTAATGACAAATTATTGTTTGGTCATTGTCACTGTCTAGAGGCAAGGAAAAGTTAAAACAAAAATGATATGCAAGTTAAAATATATAAGGTTACGTATTTATATTTAATTTGTTATTTAGGGTTGAGGCTATCTATTTATTACTAGGGCTTTCATAGAATGTGAACAACTTATAAAATTATAATGGACTGCATTAGATCGAAGGGTTGATATCACATCTTTAACAAATTAGGCAAAATTGAAAAATGCACGTGTCTCTTTGCGCTTCACACACCTTGAGCACCTCAACCGCACTTCATTAAAGTCGTCTCGCTTCAGGGGTATTGAGGCGCCTCAACTGTGCCTCGGTGCGCCTTGTGCCTTTGTTAACACTAGGTTTAACTACCTTGCCCTAAGCTGTGATTTAGGCCAAGTTTGGCTATCCTAAATAAGTACACACTTTTTATCTTTTTATCTTTTTTCCATCACATCATCTCTCTACTTTTCTGCACATCTTTTCGTAAAAAGACGAAAAGTACACTTATTTAGGTCATCCCAAACAACCCCTTATTATGATTCTCTATACTTTGCTTAGACACCTTAACAATATTAGCCCTTGTTTCCTTAGCATCGCCATGTTGGCCGAAATGATTATTTTCTACATTCATATAAAAGAGGTGAAGGGAGAGTTAGTTAAAAGATTATAATTGATTAAGGGAAGGGAAATGTTACCCAAAAAAAAAAAAAAACAAACTGAGGACCAAAATTCCATTCAATAAGAAAAGAGAAAAATTAAAAACCAAAATTACACGTCACATATCTCTCCAATCTTTGATCCAAATTTTTTTTTCTCTCCAGTCTTTACAAATAAAAAATTAAAGAATCCCTCGAAAGGAGATAAGGTTGAAGCCCGAAAATAAGAACAAATTCTATTTTATAAAGCTGTTATTTGTCAAACTTACTCTCGAAAATGGCTCTTCTCTTCTCCTTTCTCTTCTCTTTCACCATAGCCGAAGCTTCCACCATGGCCAAAGACCACCAGTGCCGTCGGCGATCTACGCCACCGTTGTCGACACCTTCTTCACAAGATGTCACTCTGTTCATGTCTCCACCATGACATTATACGTCTACATGCTGATTAAACACAGAGGCGACCCAGCTTAAGCTTTTTTGAGACATCTAAAAAGGCCACCTAAGGAGAAAAATCCAAGCGAGTTTTTTTTACAATGAAAATTATTTTCTGAACATAGAACTCCGCAAAAACAGGAATAAGAGAATTACGAGAGATTTCCGGGGTGATGGGTTACTGACCTGGGATGGTTTCGGTGGAGGCGGAGATGGATCCGTGACGTCAGATCCTTTTCCTTAGTGGTCACTCGTTCGAGTTTGAAGAGGCGGTAGTAGATGAAAGGGGACATCGACGTTTAGCGATTGTGGAGAGGGGGCAAGGATTGCGACAGGAAGTGGTGTTGGTCGGCTTTGAAGCCCGATGGGTAGGCACGAAGTTGCGGATGGCTTCAAGAAGTCCAAAGAGTCAATCGTTCGTGGGCCATTTGGAGGGAGACGACGGAGTGTGGCAGTTTGGATGCGAGGAGAGGGCAATAAGGGTACTTCATTTCAGATTGTGGTTACGGCAGTTGGCAAACGGACGTAGGTTTTTCTTTCCATCTTTGAGTTCGGTGACGGCTGGGAAGGAGTGGCGTTGGTGGTAGAGGGGTTTACCCGAGGGGATGACTGGGTGTCCCGGATGGGTGTTGTGAAGAGGACGGTGGTGGATCAAAGGGGGGTCACGGTGGCAGTGGGGGTCTCAAGTCCCAAAGATGGTAGAGGTGAGGTGATACAAGCAGTGGCAGAGGAGGGATGGTTTGATTTGTTGGGAAGGGCCTTGGTGGGTAGAGTAGGTGAGGTGGGGTTGAAGGGGGTTGGTTTTGCTGCTATGACGGAATGGGTAGATCTGTGGTGGCAGCGGTTGGGGAAGGTGGAGATTCGACCAGTTGGGGGTTAAGACTTCCGCTTTGTGTTCTCCTCACAACAACACGCTGAGAATGTGCTCCGGCGACAGTGGGTCATTGACGGCCATGATCTACACTTGAGCTGGTGGTCACCAACAGTTCTCTGTGCTTCTGGGCACTTGGCTTCGCTGGAGGAGTATGTGTGGGTGAGGGTGATAGGTTTACCCATCCACCTTCACGGGATGGCGACTTACAGGGCCATCGGGGAGAGGTGTGGTGGCTTTGTGGAGGTTGACGAGCTCTTGGCGGACCTAGGTATTGTCCAAGTGTGAGTCCGACAGGGCGGCAACATCCCATCTAGGGTTTTGTTACTTTGGGAGTCGTAGCAGTACATGATCTCGCTATGGCTGGAAGTTGGGCCGACAGTTGAAGCTTTGCGGTCGGAGATGGGGTAGTCAGAGGGTTTTCGGATGAAGCGGGGTAATCATGTTTGGCTGCGTGATGAACAGCGCGATATACGGACTGGAGGATTTGGGCGATCTCAATCCCGATTTGGGAGGGAGATGCCAGGAATAGGGCTTCGGGATAAATCTTGGCCATTAAGTAAAGAAGTCGGTCCCAGGTTTGTTAAGAGGAGTCCAGTGGGTGGTGGTCCAAACTTTTTGGGCCGTGGGGGTGAGAATGGGCCTAATTATCCATGGGCCAACTTAATAGAGTAGTGTTGAGGGATGGCAAGGGTTGTGTGGGTTTGGAGTTGGCCTAAAGTTTTTTAAACCCACGATTGAGGCAGCCAGTCGTGGATCGCCCAAGGAGGACATCAGGTCAACATGTCAACCCGCTTATAGACCGGGTATTTGGGACATTGAGAGTTGGTTTCGGGTCGCAAGGACAACACGTTAGTACTGAGGCAATTCCGACAGGAGGGAGGGGGTCGCGAGCTTCTCCAGAGGCTTCCCCAGAGGGTGTCTCTTTCGCGGTCGCCTTTGGGTCAGGGGCAGTCCATGTCGAAGGCTGTGACTCCATCAGCCGAGTGTTTTCATAGGGAAGAAACAGCAAGTTTACGGATTTGCAGCGGTATTGGGGTTGCGTGTAGGACTAACAGGGCTGATATGGGGGATGGCCTGGCGATGGTGGTGCGACCAGTAGGTGTGAACGTTAGGCATTCTGGGTCGCCATATACGGCTCACACTTCGGAGGATGAATTAGAGGCTGAGTTTCAGAAGGATCAATTACCCACTATGAATGAGGTATCTGATTGGGTGTTGTCTCGTATACATGAGGTTAGTCAACTTTTGGGTGTTTCTTTTGAGGGACATGAGGGTGATGCTCTGAAATTGTTTTCCGCTATTGAGGCATCATGGAAACAGAGTAATTTGGGAGATTCAAACTTACAGACGGTTGGCCAGAAGGACAAAAGGGCTCGGGAACTACGGAGATTGGAGTGTTCCATAAATTATGATCGAAACATGAAGGGGAGTGATCGGAGGTTCAGAAAGGAGAATGGGGATCAACTTTTGTTACCATGCGTCTGAAAATTTTGATTTGGAATGTGCGGGGCTTAAATGACAGAGGGAAAAGGACAGTGGTTAAATCCTTATTGAAGAGTGCCAAGGCGGATGTGGTGTGTCTTCAAGAGACCAAAATGGTGTCCCTGGAATGGGGGTAGTGCGGGAGTTGTGGGGTGAGAGGCATGTAGATTGGGCTTTTCAACCAGCATTAGGGGTGGTTGGTGGTGTTCTCATGTGCTGGGACAATGGGGTGGTGGTGAAGGAGAGGGAAGAGATAGGGGGTTTTATTTGTCTTGTTTGTTTCAATGTGTGGAGGATGGTTTTCGGTGGGTGTTCACTAAAGTGTATGGGCCGGTGAGAGGGGGTGAGAGGGCTGCTTTTTGGGAGGAATTGCAGGCTGTTGCTTTTCGATGGGGGTTGCCTTGGTGTGTTGGGGGTGACTTTAATGTGGTACAGAGACCAGAGGAAAAGTTTGGTGGGAGCCAGATGACGGGGTCTATGCGGGTTTTTTCTACGTTTGTTGATACATTGGAGTTGATTGATCTGCCGATGCAGGGTGGGGACTTTACTTGGTCTGGAGGCCGGGCTATGTCTCGGATTGATCGATTTCTAGTTTCTGGGGATTGGGAGGAGCACTTTTCTCAGTCAATTCAATTGAGGTTGCAGCATCCGATCCTTGATCATTGGCCAGTGCTGTTGGATAGTGGGGGTGTTTGGGGGCTCTGTCGCCTTTTCGGTTCGAGAATATGTGGTTACAAGGAAAGGGGTTCCTAGAGATGGTGGGTGGATGGTGGAGGAGTTATAGGGTGGTTGGGGTGTCGAGTTGTAGATTGGCCCAGAAATTGAAACTCCTTAAGGCTGATCTGAAGAGATGGAATGTAGAGGTGTTTCGTAATGTGAAGGTTCAGAAGGCGAATATTTTAGCAGTCCTACATGGGCTAGATGAGAAGGAAACTGAGGGGAGTTTCTCTGTGGCGGATGTGATTTGCCGAGTGGGGGCTTGGAAGGAGTATGCACACGTGGCTAGAATGGAGGAGATTAGTTATCGGCAGAAATCCAAATGTTTATGGCTGAAAGATGGGGACCATAATACCAAATTTTTTTATTGGATGGCAAATGCTCATCGATGGGCAAATCAGATAGGGAAGGTGCGGGTGAATGAATGGTGTGCTGTTCTCTTTAGAAGGGGAGGTTAAGGCTGGTATAGTGAGTTTTTATCAGCATCTTTTTCGGGATGAGGGGGAGGTGTGGCGGCCAACGTTGGATGGCGTTGGTTTTGATACTATATCATAGGTGGATGGCTTGGTGCTGGAGAGTCCATTTACTGAGGAAGAGGTGTTGGGTGTGTTGAGTATGCCTAGTGATAAGGCGCTAGGGCCAAATGGTTTTTCTATTGCTTTCTTGCAGCATTGTTGGGAGGTGGTGAAAGGGGAGGTGATGGCTACGTTTGAGCAATTTTATCACACGGGACAGTTTGAGAAGATTTTCAATGCCATATTCCTAGTTTGATCCCTAAGAAGGGGGGGGGAGGGGAGGATATTCGAGATTTTCAGCCGATTAGTCTGTTAGGCAGCGTTTATAAGTTATTGGCTGAAGTCCTGGCTAATCGACTTCGGACGGTTTTGGAGGGGATGGTGTCGGAGTCGCAGAATACTTTTGTGGGTGGATTCTGGATGTTGTGCTGGTGGCCAATAAGTGTGTGGATTCACGGCTTTGTCAAAAGAAAGGGGGTATCATTTGCAAACTGGATATTGAGAAGGCATATGATAATGTAAATTGAAAGTTTTTGTTGTATCTGTTGGAGAGAATGGGCTTTGGGGAAAGATAGAGGTCTTGGATGCAGTTTTATATCTCCACTGTGCGGTTGTCGATCTTGGTGAATGGGACGCCAGCGGGTTTCTTTTCGACTTGGAGAGGTTTGTGGCAAGGTGATCCTTTGTCTACTTTATTGTTCGTTCTAGTTATGGAGGCCATGAGTCGTCATATTTCCAGAGCGGTCCAAGGAGGATTGTTATCAGGGTTTGAGGTGGGGAGCGGGTCTGCGGCTTTGCTAGTTTCTCATATTTTCTATGCTGATGATGCGTTGATTTTCTGTGAGGCAGATGTGGATTAGATTGGCTATCTGCGATGTGTGTTATTGTGTTTTGAGGCAGTGTCAGGGCTTCGGGTTAACTTGGCAAAGTCAGAATTGATTCTGGTGGGCAAGATGGAGAATGTTCCAGTGTTGGCGGCTGTTTTGGGGTGCAAGGTGACCATGTTGCCAGTTTCCTATTTAGGTCTTCCGTTGGGGGCTTCTTTTAAGGAGACTAAGGTATGGAATGGGGTGGTGGATCGTGTTCAACGGCGTTTGGCGCGGTGGAAGCGTCAGTACTTGTCCAAAGGAGGGCGGATCACTTTGATCAAAAGTGTCCTTTCCAGTATTCCAACGTATTTCATGTCTGTGCATGTAATTCCTGCAGGGGTGGCTACGAGGTTGGAGAAGTTACAGAGGGATTTCTTGTGGGATGGCGAATGGGGGGGCTTTCATTATCATTTGGTGTCTTGGGAGAGGATTTGTTCTCCAAAGGAGAGGTGGGGCCTGGGGGGGCGGAGGTTGGTGGTGTTTAATCGTGCTCTTTTGGGGAAGTAGTTGTGGCGGTTTGCGATGGAAAGGGAGCGCTTGTGGAGGAGGTTGGTGGTGGCCAAGTATGGGATGGGGTGTTCAAATAGGGTGCGCCAATCCCAAGGGTGTAGTCTGTGGAAGGGGATTTGGTTAGGGAGGACAGCCCTTTGGGAAAGGGTTCAATTCAAAGTGGGGGTGGGGGATCACGTTCGCTTTTAGGTAGATAGGTGGTGTGGCGAGTTGTCTCTGACGGCCATGTTTCCATTGATTTTTGCTATTACAGTTGATGTGGAGGAGTTGGTTGCTTCGGTTCGAGTGCGGCTTCGTTGTAATGTGCAAGATTGGGAGTTGGACCAATTGGTGGGTTTGTTGTATAAGCTTCGGTTTGGAGGGGATGGCGAGGATACTTTATTATGGGTGGGTTTGAGGGCTAAAGGGTTTTTTCGGTATCGTCGTTTTATAGGCTGCTTGAGGGGGGTGGAGTTGGGGTGTTTCCTTGGAAGACCATTTGGGTGGTGGGATCATCGTCCAAGGTTGCTTTCTTTGTTTGGACAGCTGTTTTGAACCGTATTCTGACTACTGATAACTTAATTTGGCGGCGCCACGTGTTAATTGGTGCTGTATGTGTTGTAGGGATGTGGAGATGGTGGATCATTTGCTAGTTCATTGCCCGTTTGTGTCTCGGCTTTAAAATTTGATTGTTGTTTTATTTGGTCTGGTTTGGGTGCAGCCGGGGTCTGTGCTAGGGTTCTTCATAGTTGGGGTGGGGCTAGGGTAGGCAAGAGGCGTCAGAAGGCTTAGGTACTTGCTTCTCATTGTTTGTTTTGGATGATTTGGTTGGAGCTTAATAGGCAGGTTTTTCAGGATTCGAGCCATTCAACTCTTTGGTTAGAAAGTAGGTTACTCTTGGTCATGTATAGTTGGGTGAAGGGTTTGGTGGATCCCGATGTTTTGAATTTTGTAGAAGATTTGTTTAGTTAGTTTTGTGTCTGGTGTGGGGTGTTGGTTTTGCTCTTGTATTTTTTGCATCGCCTTGATGCTTTCTTAATAAAGTTTGATTATTTATCAGAAAAAAAAAAACTTACTCTCGAAAATTCCTGTATTTCTTTCCAACCAAATCACCTAAAAAATAACACAAATTACACAATCCCAAAGCACTCGATCCTTCTTGTTAAAACCAGAACCCCTATAGTCAATTAAGACCATCTGAACACAAGCAAAAGGTGCCACCTGATAAATTCCCACCATCTGAAATAGTTTGTATTATAAAGTCGTAACAAATGATACATGCTCTCATTTTTCCTACCCATAACATGCCTCTATAGAAGTAGATGACAATTATGCCTCTTTTGAAACATGTCATTTCTTATGAACCATAAACCATGCAAGTACTTTAACTTTTAAAGGCACAATTGCATTGCAAATCATCTTGGAGAGTTAGAAGGTGATGTATTTGGATTATCAACAATCTTATCAAAGATTGACTTGCAATAGAATGCTCTCGAAGAATGAAAAAGACCACAAACTTCTATTAATAACCTGAGGTCATAAGGAAACATCATCAGAGATGGACAATAAAGAGGCCCAATTATTTATTCTTACTGTCATTGAGGTGCCTTGAGGATTCAAAATATGCAAGAGAAAATGTCAATTTACATGATCATACGCTTTCTTTGTGTTAAGCTCGCAAATGATGCTTTGGAGCCCACACCTACAAGCATAGCATCAAGAATTTGCCCCCTTCCCACAAAGGGATTTTGACAGCCAGAAATGGCCCAGTTTAGTACTCTCAATCTCCAAGCCAAAGTCTTATCTATCGAAATGTAGATGCAACTCACCAAACCAATGGGCTGAAAATCCATCAATTCCGTGCCCACCCATAGGAGTCAAAGCTATATAATAGAGGCATTAGGACACCACCCATTGTTAGTAGACTAGGGGCACGAGGTGAGAAATCCTTGTTGAATGTTGAAATTCTATCATTGCGTTTTTAGTGCATTGTTGATTGATTATGGCATTTTCTACTTATGCAGTCCCTTCTCTAGTTACTTACAGGCTTAGTTTTAAGATAGTTTTCATTGTCAGATTATTGCAGTGGGTTATGCTATCATGACAACAAGGTCGGTAGATTTGAACTGGAAAATGAGGGCGTTTCGGGTTTTGCCAATGTTTCTTTTGCCTGCACTATCTTCTGTTACTTACTCGGCACTTGTAAGCTTCACAAGGATGTGTAAGTATCTTAAAACTCTCTCACACTTTTATATTGCCTGACATTATTGATTTTGCATTTATTACTTTGTGAAGTTATTTTTATTTTCATATTCATTTTAATACTTGGACTGATGGTTTCCTTCGGTGTGGCCCCAATTTCTTTTTATTTTATTTTGGTACATTAGAGGGGGAGGGGGAGGGGGAGGGGAAGTTGAACGTTGACCCTCCTAGTGAGAATTTTATATTGCCCTAAGGCCTTTATTACAGTTTCATTATTGATTTTCTGTTTACTATTTTGTTTAGTTGTTTTTCTTCTTACTTTTTACTACTGGGACTGTTGATTTCCCTTCTGATTTGGGTGTTTGTCTGTATTCTATGTTTTGGGTTTTGTTTTGTTGCTTTGGGTGCAGTAAATATAGCATGTTGAATCCTTTGAGTTTTGAGTTGTATTCTTTGAATCCTTATTTGCTTAAAAGATCTTCCTAAGCTATGTTTGAATTATTTGGTTCAGCTATGTCTTGAAACATAGAATGATCAAGGAATGAGATGAGAAGCCAAAAAATATGTTGTGTGAGATGGCTAGTTGCATTAAAATTGTAGCGAACAATATCTTTGGAGAATTTAAGGGGAATCATCATTTTTTCTTCCCCTCCTTCAGATTTAAGTAAGAATACGGCTTTCAAGTTTGAAAAAAAGCAAATTGCTCAAAAATGCCAATGTAGCTCACCTAAGTAACTAGGACCAAGGCTTGTTGAGTCAAAAAAAGAAAAAAGAAAAAAGAAAGAGCTTATTTATTATCTTAATGTAATCACAAAATTTGGTGCTGATTTTAGTATGTATAAAGACACATATTCATAGATTTACACAGGATCCTGCATTCTGTGTATTGGTTAATACAACAGGCCTTTGAGGTTAACCACTGCTTATGATAACTCAAGTTTTGCCTAGAAAGAAGGATCTTATGTGGTGTAGTTATTTGATGATCCTTTTAATGCAAATCTTAATAATTGTGTGTTTTCCTTTGTATTTTCTATTTCAGGAGACAAGGTAAAACTTGCCCCACCCTGTTATCTTTAAATTTACTATGTATGTGTACATTTTATTCTTCTTGTTGTAAGGGGAATAATTTCCATGCAGAAAATGTTCTTGATTAATTTTTTTGGCAAATTACCAACACCCCCCTCGAGGTTTGACAAAAATACGGATTCCCTCCTGAAGTTTGGAAAATTACAAATTGCCCCCTGAGGTTTATATTTGCATAACAAATGAGGGAGCAATTTGTTATGCAAAATATAAACCTTAGGGGACAATTTGTTATGCAAATATAAACCTCAGGGGACGGGATGTAATTTCTCAAACCTTAGGGAATCTGTATTTTAATCAAACCTCGAGAAGGGTGTTGGTAATTTACCCTAATTTTTTTTAGGTTTTCTTTTCTACTTTAAATCCTAAAAGATGCTTACTTATACATCTGCATATTGATGCATTTCGTTCAGTGTTTGATATGTTGTGCTTCTGATGATTTGGTGGAATAGCATCCTGACTAGAAATAGTTCTTCTCATTTATTCATGTTTACTGACATGATCTCATAGGTGACCGCAAGGACCAGAAAACCTTGGAAAGGCTTCGGACCGAAAGGCAAGCAAAGATTGATGAGCTTAAAGAAAAGACAAATTACTACAGTACACAGCAGCTGATTCAGGTGATATGACCAAGTAGTTTTTTTTATTCTTCCTTTGTCATAATCTGCTACTACATGATGGATCTCTTTTTGTGGAGCTTTATTTGTACTATTTCAAAATGTGATTGCATGGGGTAATTTTCAATTGGACAAGGTTTAATATCATGTTGGGTTCTGTTTGCTCTCTCTCTCTCTCTATATATATATTAATAAATGAAATAAATGAGGCAGTACTGAATGAATATTATAATTAAGGATGAGTTACAAATCTTACCGTCGTTTTTAATTATTTTCTATTCTAAAATTCTAGAAATTTTACGTGAAAGAGTTGCTGAAAAGTGAGGATTAGGATGAGATTATGACATTACTTTAAAAATACAAGGAAAAAAACTACTATATTTTTCTGGGTCTAACAGTCTCTGGAAATGAAGAGTTTATATATTCAGTAGGAAAAATAATTGGTATATTATTATGGAGCCTATTTTATATTTCTATGTTAATGTCTTATCAGGCATAAAATCTATACTTTTACAGTTGAGCTGATTGACCTTTTTCTGTATCTAGTGTAACAATTTCCTGCAAATAAAATATTTCGATACCTGAAACTGCTTTGCCTGCTGACTACAAAATTTTAAATGCAGAGGTATGACCCTGACCCAGCAGCAAAGGCTGCTGCTGCAACTGTCCTTGCATCCAAGCTGGGTGCAGATTCTGGCTTAAAGTTGTATGTGGGAGATGAGTCTAATCTCAACCCCACAGCAAAGAGCAACGATGTCGAACTAGTCCAATCTAGTGGGCTCCGAAATCGGAAACAGTTACATACAAGATCCAGTAGCGCAGGGAGCACTGTGTCACAACACTCTAATGAAGAATTGCTCCATAATACAGCAGGGATTGAGGGTGCTGATACTTCTAACTGTAATCAGCTGGTTGTTGAACATCATCAACCAGGATCAACCACACATGACGGAGGATGGATTGCTCGGATTGCAGCATTGCTGGTGGGTGAGGATCCAACACAGTCCTATGCACTTATATGTGGCAACTGCCATATGCACAATGGTGAGTGGTCTGTGGTGCCCATCCTTCAATTTAAATGAAAGAAAAAAAGATAGACACCAGTTGTTTGATGTAGCACTGCTTATAACTTATTAGGCAGAAATAATTTAAATAAGCTGAAAAAAGCGAACTATCTAAAGTTGGGGGAGGTGTTTCTTTTGGTTTCTACTTTTTTTATTATCAGCGTTTAGTTTTACAATAAGCTGCACCAAATAGGCCCTCAGTTTGGTTTCTTGCAAAATATGGTGAAATGATCAGAAGTAATTTTGTCCTCTTGTTTTGTGCAGGGCTTGCAAGGCAGGAGGATTTCCCTTACATTACTTACTATTGCCCACACTGCAATGCCCTGAATAGGTCAAAACAGCAAGAAGGTGTTCCCAATTCGGACTCCCCTCGTATTGTATCTTCAGTAATGGCAAGCAATGTTAACCCCATAAGGACTGTTAGTGGTACGATGAGTGACGGGACACCTGTAAGTAGTAGTCCACTTGCATCTGTTGTGGAAACCATGGAAGTGAGTGAAACGGTTGTGTCTGCAAATGTGGATCCAGTTAGTTGAAGGCGGTCACAGATGGGTTGGGTTTTTCTTTGTGGGCAAGAGCTTTTTGAGTGCTGGGACTATAACGGGCTTGATTGTCGTTTGGTTGTGTAATGTTAGATTTCCTCAAGGAGGAACTTGTGCTTGATGAATTACACATATAGATCATGTGGCATGGTTGCAACCCTCGTCTGTTTTGGGTTTATGCCACTTAGGTTACTGTGAATCGGTCAAGTTGATTTCGCTCAATACATGTGTGTTGTGGTTCTGAAAGTAAATACAAGGAGGAATTTGTTGCCAAAATGAGATCAATACGAAAACAAATGTAAGTTTACTTTTAGCAACAATGTTTTGAACTTTCAACTGCGTTGTGGGATCGTTTTTTCCTGTTTTGGAGATTGGAATGGTATTTATGAATTTGTTCATTTGAAGGCCATATACATTGCTTGTGAAATCACTCGTCTTTTATTAACGATCCCAATGAAGTTTGCAAGTGCATTTATCCTTTTCTTGATGAGCTTCTGTGAATTGAGTTCTTACCAATAATCAAATAGCAATTTGATAGGAAGGGTAAACATTATGTGAGTGTGCTCAGGATATTTTGGAATAGTTGGATTTTTCATGCAAGAAGGAAAAATTACTTAATTCATTTACATGGCTGGCTATTTTTATTTTTTTCAAGGATAAATTACAAATGCACTTTTTGAGATTTGATTAAAATATGAATCGCTTCTAATAGTTCTGGAAATTACATTTCACCTCGTGAGGTTTTTAATTTTATAATAAATTATTTTTTTTATTAATAAATTATCAAGTTAATTAATAATTTTTAATGATATTTGAAATATGTTTTAATTAATAATTTAAGTAATTTTATTATTGTATAGTAGAGAAATTATAAATTTTATTCTTTTAATTAATTATGTTAAATAAAAAATTCTGATAATGAAATATTTATAATTTTTTAAATCATAAGAGACAATCTGTACTTTAAACAAATTTCAAAAAATGTATTTGTAATTTACCATTTTTTTTCAATTTTCGATAATTACTTCTTCATTTATTTATTTTTATTTCAGTCCAACCAAACGAAAAAAGAAAAACATGTTTCACTTTATTTTCCCTTCCCACCTTCTCTATTTTTTTTTTCTTTTTCTTTTTCTTTTACAAATAGGAAATATTTCAAATAACTATAACCACCTAATTATTTCAAGTTTATGGAGGTTAAACTTTAAGAACCTTCATTGAAAGAATAATATTAAAATTTTTCATTTAGAAACTTTGTGAAGGACTATGTGTCCATAATAATAGTGGACTCTTATTGTGAAAATTTAAGAAAAGTTTATATATTTCTTGTGAAGTCTACAAAAATTGTGTTTTAATAGTAACAATTTAAAATTTAAAAAAAAAAAACTTATTGATGCATTAAATTTGAATTCCTTTGAATTATACAAATTAGACGGTTGACATTATTTTTATTAACCGCGATTATCTCTTTTGTCTACATATATATCAACTAGTATATATAAAAACTACCGTCCAACTGACAAATTGAATAATTCACAAACACAAATTTAAATAATTTAAGCAAGCTTAAATTCGATAGATGTAGGGACGTTGTTAACATTAAAATAATTACTAAAATATAGAAGAACGAAGTATTTGATCCGTCCACTGAAAACGCAATTCAGAGGGTAACTCCTGTTGGGCGGGCCTGCCTGCCTTATCATCAACTGTCCGTGAACCCTGTGTCTGACATTCCCGACTTTCAACTTCTTCTTCGGAATTTCATCGAGCACTAGGTCTGCATTTCCCAACCTGAATCAACAATGCTAACAACTATTCTCTCCTCCACCACCACCACCACCACCACATTTCCAGTCACCTATTCATTTACGCAATTACCTTCTTCATCTTATTCTTCTTCTTCTTCCTCCAATTCCACTTCTTCTTCATTAACCCTAACCAGGACCAGAACAAGAAACCCTATCCTTCTGCGAGTGCGAGCATCATCATCTATGATTGAAAAGGAGAGACCGGAGAGCCAACGGCCTCTCACATTCCTCCGTGAATCGGACGATGAACTTTCTTCCATCTCAGATTCGAATTCAACTCCTTCTTCTTCTGTGAGAGCTCGGTTTGAGAAGATGATAAGGGAGGCGCAGGACAGCGTTTGCTTGGCCATTGAAGCGGTGGATGGAGGTGGAAAGTTCAAAGAGGACGTCTGGTCGAGGCCTGGCGGCGGCGGCGGAATCAGTAGGGTTTTGCAGGATGGGGACATCTGGGAGAAGGCCGGTGTGAATGTGTCTGTTGTGTATGGAGTTATGCCTCCCGAAGCTTATAGAGCCGCCAAGCCTGCTAATTCCTCTGATGTGAAGCCTGGTCCTGTTCCCTTTTTCGCTGCTGGGATCAGCTCGGTAATTTCTCTTCTATTTATGTAATTCTTTCCTAACTCGTATATATATATATAGGATGATCATGATTTGGGTTTGGTGTTGCATGATTTTGAGGTAGATGTGAGCCATTTGGAAAAATGTAGATGGAGTTTAGTTAGAATCTTGATTCGCCACCCTTATTCGCCAAGTGTCCTAACTTTGTTCAGAAAACTAAGGTTGAACTTAATTAGTTTGAATAATCTTCTTCGTCCATTCAGCTGACGATGACCGAAGATTCCAAGAATGTTTTGCTTGATTGGCCTTGAATATAGAAAAGAAAAAAAAAAAAAGAAAAGAAAGTTCCCAAAATCATTGTAAGAAAATGAACTTCTTTGAAGGCAAAAGCTGCACATTTGTTTTTTGATTGTTGGAACATGGAAACTCCATTTGTATAAGCATTGGATTCCTGATTTGTATAATGAAACAACTTAAAATTCTATTACAACTCAATTTCAAATTGTCGATACAACTGGTTTGCATACAAGCATTGTAGCTTGATTGAGTGAAGTCATGTACAACTTTGTATTTTACACCTGGTTTATCACTATCTTGTATCGGTACTTACAATTGTAATTTGAATTGGCTCGTCAATTCAGACTAAGCCATTACATTAATATTAACCTGAAGAGAGTTGATTTTAGTAGTTTGGCCTTTTGCTGACTTCAGGGATCTTATTATTTGGCAAACTATCATTTCATTATCGTTGTACATATGTCATGGAATCTTTTTTCCCCATTAATATCATTGCCCTTTCTTTTTTTTCAGGTTTTACATCCAAAGAACCCTTTTGCCCCGACATTGCATTTTAATTATCGGTATTTTGAGACTGATGCTCCAAGCGGTATTCAAGCAGCCTTCGATATGACTTGCATATCATTCTTGCAAATTTACATTGTTGTATTGTGAATTTTTATGAGCATTTTTGTTCATGATAACTTCTTGGCACTTGTTTTGCATCAATGTTTTGTATTGATTCTTGTACCATTTTATTTATAATGGTTTTTTGCAATAATGTATGTAGTCAGTTGCTTGAACTTTTATCATTTCATTAGCTTTTGGGGCCATAGTCATAGAAAGATAATTAGTTGAAAATTAATGTTATCGTTTGTACATGCTACTGTATCATTAACTAATCCAGTTCATGTCAGCATAATAATAAAAAAGAAAAAAGGGAAAGAAAAAGAAAAGACAGAACAAATCTAAATTTCACATGGAATATGCTTTTAGGTATTTGATAAACTTGTTGTGGGTTGATTCAAGTTCTATTTTTAAGTGTCTCATAGTTTAGAATTCTGTTGGATATGTTTAGTTTTGTTTTTGTTATGTTTTCCTTAGGTTTTAGAAGCTAGTAGTGCGAAAAAGGCATCATAAATAGATTCAAGAAGAAGAAGAAGACAAAGAAGCACGATGAAGTATCACATGGTTTTTTATAGACATTAGAGAACTACTTGTAGGATTTTAATTCCCATTTGGAAACTAAGACTCTTGACTTCCAAATAAGACCCATGAATAAAAACCCAATCACGTATTACTCATGGGACACTGGTACATTCCTTGTCTAGAAAATTTCAAAATTACCAAAAATACGCCTTACCTATGAAACATATTAGAAAACATTTTTAAACTTGACCCAAATAATCTTAAAATAAGACTCATCTAAGACTAAAAAGTGTTTAAAATATGGTTCTAATTGATCCCAAATGATTTCGGCTTGAAATTTAACGAATATCCAAACTTGAATGTTTCCTTAATTTTTTTTTTTCCCTTGTTCTTCTTATGGAGATCATCAGTAGTTCAAAGTTTGCTAGTGCTGCTCTAATCAGTTTGGTGGCAGAGCTTATATAAAAGTGTTTAACCACCCTTGTCCTACATTGTTGTGTCAAGCAAAAATAGTACTTTAGGGGAAAATGGAGAAGAAAGGAATGTTTTGCACCCTGAATTGAAGCTCCCAAGAAGTCGCAAAACAGATGACAGAAACAGAAGATTTGAAAGAATAAAATGTAAAAGTACTGCAACCAAGTAACACAGTGAACATGTAAACCAAAAAAAACTCTTTGAATAATGTTATACATGATAAACATTCTAGATCATGTTGTTTGAATAATTTCCTTTTAGAAATCGGCAATTATCAATTGGAAGAATATATTCATTTCCTTTTATTTGCATTTGAGGACTCGTTTGCAAATTTCTCCCGGGAATTATTTTTCTTCTTGGGCAACATCATTGAAAATTTGTATGTTTACCCGTAGTGATGCTATGTCATCTTATGTTTTACACTGGTAAAATTGTACGAACTGGTGTGATGATTACTTCTAGATCAAGCTATGTCATTTATATGCAGATGCTCCTGGAGCACCAAGACAATGGTGGTTTGGTGGTGGTACTGATTTGACACCTGCGTACATCTTTGAGGAGGATGTCAAGCACTTTCATTCGGTATAATAAGCATGCTCACAATCTTGAATTCTGTCTGTAAGCTGAAATTAAGCTACTTTTTACTAGATTCCATGTTTAGATGACAATGACAATGCAACTTTCTTGCTCATATGAACAAAACATAGTTCCCCAATATCATATGTGCTAGACTTTGTTTCTTAGACCTTCTGTAACTTAGTCTGCTGAGGAAGAAGGTAAAAGAACCAGTTGCTAGTGAAGTTGCAGTATACAGTAAACTGCCACAGAAAGAATTGCAACACCTGTATAGTTTTGCCACGTAAACTAGTTTGTTTGGTCTTTGATTATGCATGAATAATTTTTACGTAAGCACGTTGGCCTTGCTTTGTAGGTTCAAAAAAGCTCTTGTGACAAATTTGACCCAAGCTTCTATCCTCGGTTCAAGAAATGGTGTGATGATTACTTCTACATCAAGGTATCCCTCTAATTTAGTTTTTTAAATGATGTACTATTTTATGGTAAAATATTTATTAAATTAAAATATGTTCAGTAAATTTTGATTAATTTATCATTATTTCAAATTTTAATGTTGCAGCTACTTTTCAATTTTTATTATTCGTTGGTTGCAAATAGGTGCCTCTTTTTGTAGTTTTAGAATAGCTTTTTCTGCCCAGGAGTGATCTTGCCAATTCCAAACTAATGAGTCTGACCATTAACAAACTTGACTTAATTCATGCTTTTATTCTCCGTGGTATCAAAGTTTTCTGCAAATTCCATGTTTGAATGATATATAACAGTCGGTTGTCATGATGAGTCTGTTTGTTCGTAAATATCTTCTTCTTCTTTTTTGTTGGTAAATCTGACTTTTACTAGGTTTTGGATTATGGGCAACGGAAATCAGGCACGAGGCCTTATAGTTTTCCTAATTCCTTTAAGTGGAGAAAGGGTGTCTCAAATTCATTGTGTGCCTTATGGTGATTACTTCCTGTTCTTAACTGAGTCTTGAAAATATAAAAGATTATGTACATTTTTAGCATTGTACTGACTGTTTGCACTGCACGCAGCACCGGGGTGAGAGACGAGGGCTTGGGGGAATATTTTTTGATGATCTTAATGACTATGATCAGGAAATGCTGCTTTCCTTTGCCACTGGTAATTGCTTGAAATAATATTTATTGTTTCTGTGCTTTTAGAAAGTTTCAGTAGGTTCGTGGAAGTTTTACTTTGTTAACCCTAGATACCAATCATTCTACTTTGAGAAATCCAAGTGTTTCCTGATGCGTGTTGGTAGATATCGGCGAACATCCTCAAGTCCCAACACACACACAAATAAATAAATAAAGGAAATAAAAGGTTTCTTGTCATTTACATATTCATTGGTGATCTGCAGAATGTGCAAACTCTGTGGTTCCTGCATACATACCCATAATAGAGAGGAGAAAAGATACGCCTTTCACAGATCAGCACAAGGCATGGCAGCAATTACGGAGGGGGCGCTATGTAGAATTCAACTTGGTATCAAAACTATCTCTGAAGATCCATAGAGATGTATTTTATTTAAAATATAAAATCTCTAATCTGAGCTTTTTTCCCCCTTATAATTTTCACAGGTTTATGATCGGGGAACAACATTTGGTCTCAAGACAGGAGGTAGAATTGAGAGTATTCTTGTTTCTCTTCCACTATCTGCACGGTGGGAATATGACCATGTGAGCTTTTATTCAGCTTTGTTGATCTTTCTATGTGGATGTTTCATCTAAGAGGTTTAAAAGGATTATTTTTTTATTTTTATTTTTTATTTTTGTGGTGCAGAAACCAGAAGAGGGGAGTGAAGAGTGGAAACTACTGGATGCTTGCATCAATCCCAAGGAATGGGTGTAGTGACTTTCAGAAGAATTCTCTTGTATTATTTATCTCCCAAAAAGATATCAGAAGAATTCCCTTGTATCATGTTGAGTTTTTTGTTCTTGTTTTTTTCACATTCCCCTCCCCCTCCCTTTTATGCAGTCTTGATATAATTACTACTTGGTAAGTTGCATCTTGGTCAGTAATCCACATATTTAGAAGAGGTGATAAGAGGCAGATTCCTTGGTAAGTCATATGGATTCCTTTGATTGTCTTCTTAACAAGGCTAATATGAAACTCCGGAATAAATACATTGTTGTGACCACTCTATGGTTATTGACTTTTTGCAGGTTAGCAAACTTATAATTACTGGTTTGTAAATTTCCCTTCTATAAATATGCTTGATCTATCAAATGGTGGTGTTGTCTATCATTTGGGCCTTTTGTTTTTTTGGTTGACAAATTAGCTCAAAGCAACCTCTCCATACAAGTAATCATTCTAACTTTTAGCTGTCGATTATAAGAAAATGGATACATAAAGTAAAGACCGCTTGGGCTACATATTTGTCGAGGCTTATGCACTCTTCATGCTGTTGAATTAAAGGTTGTCCTACTCAAATGAACGAGTGTATTTGGTTCATTGCAATAAAATTGGAACGGAATGAACATTTTGTAAACACTTATTTCTATTCTTATAAGTGAAAAAGGAAAGAATGTATATTCTAAATGCAATCAATATTCACTAATTTAAGAGAATTATCATTTCATCAAGAGGTAAAGAAAGTCAATATAATTCCCACCAAAAAATTATTCCAGCAAACCAAATATAGAGATTCAAGCAAAGGCTGTTTCCTCTGTTTCTGGGTTTTTGCCACTAGGTTCAGAATATGCAATGTTACAAGATTGCTTTCAGCCCTGCAAATGCTAGGATGCTAAGAAAGGGAGATATCTAATATTCTCAATGAAAAATGCTTGGGAGCACTAATTAGTGCTCCCACTAATTAGGTGACAGTAGGTCCCACCATTAATGATGTGATTTTTTGATCTTGGAGTTGTATTTTTTTTTTTTTACTTTTTTAATGCATTAGTATTATTAGTGGTGATGTTTTTAGTGGGATGAATCATTATTGTATTCTCAATAGAGACAGGAATATTTATATATATATATATGCTGTGAAATACACTTTTGACAATGACTTCCATGGAAATTGCAGACTCCATGGTTACCTGAACTTCGGTGAATCTAAGACACCGGTGCCCACAAATTTCTTCAATATCCATCAGAAACCATCAAACTGAGGTCGACTTGCAACCAGCAAAGCATACAGCATAGCTACTTGTAGCCGGAAAAACCTAAGGTTGCCAGATAGTTGACAAAACTATTGGCCTGATAGCAGGGGTCCTCACATACACAGCAATAATAGATAATACAATCAAAACGGCGATGATACAACAAATACAGATATAGAACTAATAAAAAGAGTATTGTCCCCTCAATCGATATTGCAATTTGCTGTAAATACAACAGGCTGTTCCGTTTTAAAAGACCGGAATCCAGCTCTATTCTATGAAATCAAAGTCCATTTGAGAGCTGTAATAAAACGCCTATCCACACACTGTACAAACCAACTAAAAAGCTCCTAAGCAAAATCAATAGGCCACTCACGGAGAAAATAAGCATGGAAAACTATTTCCTTTTTAACAGTGCACGCCGTTCCCATTACTATAAGGGACGCCCAATGACCAATTGGCAGCCTTCTCTCCATTTCCGTACTGGTGTGATTTTATTGCAGAAGTACCATTGCTCCTTACACTTGCCTTTGTCACACCCTTCTTCAAGAGGGTATCTAACTGCCCACAAGCTGCAGCTATAAGTCCTGCTCGCATTTAATAAACAACAATTTTGTCAGTATATGTACAATGATGTTCCCAACTTGAGACACTAAAAAATTCAAAGACCCAATAAAACTAGGAGGCAATTCAAGCACAAAACATGCCCAATCTGGGAATTTTACTACTCAAAACTTGCTGCTGAGCAATTCCTAATTCCTAAAGAGAAGAGCATGTGGACACTAACATGACAATTGTACATGGATTGAATTTCTGGCCTTTATATTAGAAAAAACTACAATGATGTGCAGAGAAGGTAGAACTTAACAAGCTTGACTTATTGGTTAATATGTTATAAGTAGGGCTAATAGGGGGCTTACTAGATCAGTGGTTAAAACTCGGCCTACTAACCTTGAAGTTTTAGGTTTGAACTTGAGGGAAGCTACATCATACAGATTATGCCAAAGGTTAAGGTCTGTACCCAATCTAACCCTCCCACACCCCCATTCAATGGGGACTTAATAACGAGTGTAGTTTTTTAATTTTTTATAAGCAGGGCTAGATATTTAACTAGGTCAGTAGGGTGGAACTCAAATTCCTTGTGGAATATGGCATACGGCATACACACAGCTTGAATGAACTACTTCAGATGCCTACTAAACGCAGACCTTCAGTCACTGAACCAGTGCTACAAGTCTCAACCATCAAAAGGCTAGATTCCTAGAAAATCCTTCTCCAACAAAACATTACATTAAAGCCACCTACTCCTTTTTATTTCACTTATTATTTGTGAATAACTTTCAGATTTTGGTGTCTGCATACAAAGTAAATGCATATTTTTTTTTAAAAAAAAAAGGCTATTTATGAATTAATATTTTATAAAGATATAAATTCTTAGTAGTTAAAACCTTTGGAGGAAATATGGGGTATGACTATTTAATTGCGAGTGGGATGGTAATGTTTTTGCCTTTTCAGGCATAAGCGCCTACCTACAAATGATATTTACAAATAATTAATAAATGCAGTGAATAATATGGGATGATAATTTAAGAGGAAAGTTAAACATTATTAAGTTCACCGTATTACCAAGTTAGTTTCACTGGGCTTAACAAAGTACATGGTTATGAGTACAATAAGCAATGTCGTCAAAAGCCACTTTGTATCCTAAGGAACTTTTTAAAAAGAAACCCTCATGTTCTCGCTCTACTGCCAATTAGCAAAGCAGTCGACAGCCTTGAACAAGGGCGAGGAGCTACAGACCCACAATTTAGAATGCACAACGACATGACAACAGATTTGGGCCTTACATGGTTGAGTTTGTAACAAATTAAAGGTTGACACATAACATGCCATGTCATTGTGAGTAAATTAGAGAAGATTTCTTAAGGGTCTCAATCTTTTTCCATACAGAATATAACTATAAGCATCAAATGAAACAAGTGAACAACTCCAGCAACCTATATAAAGGGTAAAAGTTCAAAATGAATGCAAAATGAAAACATATATCTGGCTCTCATCATTTTAACAGAAGTAAAATTCAGCAAATTCTCAATGTTTCCTCGCCAGATGAATATGAGATGACTCAAGCAAATACCTAAGAAAAGAGCAGAAGGTTTTCCTGGTCTTGATTTGAACTCCGGATGGAATTGGACACCAACAAAGTATGGATGGTTAGGCAGTTCAACGATCTGCAAGACCATACACCAATATAAGTAAATAAATTAACAGTAGTGTCAAACTATCTCGGCAACTCAAAAAATTACAAGAGATAATTCCATGACTATGTTATATCTACCTCCATGCGTTGACCACTTTCATCTTTGCCAGTAAAAGAGATGCCAGCATCTTCAAATTGTGCTACCATATTAGGATTCACCTACATATGAAAAAATTATTTCTCCAGCCAAAATACCAACTGAATAGACGTTGCACCAATACGCAAACAACAGCTCTGGTGAAATATGTTTGTGAATGATAAGTACCTCATATCTGTGCCGATGTCTCTCATCAACGAAACTCTTATTGCCATACCTAGCAGAATTCATATTGTTATCAATTAGACAATACTAGGCATGTTAGTTCAGAATACCTGTCTACGAAGCACAAACACTTCTACGAAAGTGACGTATCCGTGTTGGACATTGACACTCTTTGAACACTTTCTCGACACGTGTCCGACATTCTTCAAAACATGTCTTATTTTTTAAATTTTTTTAAAGATCCGGACACTCTTTTGACACATGGAGAATACACATGCCTATTGCTTAAACACACATGTCTATTGCTTAAACACATATATGTCTACCGATTAAACACAAGTGAAACTAATTATAAGTCTGAACAAAACAACTTAAAATACAATAATAAAACAAAAATCATATAAATTTATAAAAATTAGTGTCACATTGCATTTTTTTATTGTCTTTGAATGATATATTCATATATATAACATATAATAAATATATAAAATTATATATTTCATGTATGTCCCCCACGTATCATGGGTTCAATGATTAAGACTTGGCCTAATAACCTTGAGGTTATGGGTTCAGGTCTTAGGGCCACCACATTGTACATTATACCAAAGCTTAGGTGTGTACTCAATCTTTTCCCTCCCAAACACATATTAATGTGAACTAATTGGGCGTTGTTTTATGTGTCTCCCATGTGTCATGTCCTGTATTTTTTAAAAATTGGCATGTCCTGTATCCGAGTCGTGTCGCGTGTCCGTGTTACTTCTTAGATACTTGTGCATAAAAAATCCTTCATATGTATCTATGTGTTAATTGTTCACACGTGTCAAGTCCCATGAGGTCCATTTCATGACAATTTTAAATTAAAAAGATCCCAACTCATTAATTTTAAGTGTATGCATATCTTTCTATGCTAACTACTTTATTGCATTCGAGGGGTAAACTTAGGGTTCATCCCACAAAAATTAGACGTTACACTTTCTCCAAAAGCATGCATCAGGTGTATAATCTATGCTAATATATAAAGCAAACACATCTGTTGGTGGCACATCTGTTGGTGGGTGTAGATGTCACATAATTTTTTTTCCCAAAAAATGCCTCCAAAATGTGATAACTACTATAAACTGCTTCAGATAACTGCCATAGTTGTTAGATCCAATTACAAATTGCACACTATACCCACCTCTAGTAAACACATATGCGTGCATCTGAGTAGGTTTCTATGCCACTGTAGCCAAGAGTACTTACAGTTTTGCAGATATGCAGTCTGAAACCTGAAAAAAAGTCCTCCTTGATCCAAGACGCATAGTTCCTCCCATATGAGTTTTTGAGCCCTATAAATGGTTACAAAATCAGATTTGTCAATAGAGAGAGAGAGGAAGAAAACTGACAAGTAATTAAAGTTATCCTCCTCTAGAGCAGAGTGCTAAGAGATCTAAACCTCTGGCATTAATATAACACAAGGGTAGCGTGCGTCAGGATCAAATTCAGCGCTGTTTGCATCTTGCAGTCCAAGAACAGATCGAGCAAACTCAATGACAGCAATTTGCATTCCTAAGCATATTCCAAAGAATGGAATCCTATTTTCCCGGGCATACTTTGCAGCAACAATTTTCCCTTGCACCCCTCTGTCACCAAACCCTCCAGGAACAAGCACGCCATCTGCACCCTAAAGGTAAAGAGGCTTATCATAGAGCTAAAAGAAAAACCAACTGCAACATAAGAGGAAATTATGAACCACTACTCCTAAGAAAGTAGCTTCACTAATCATTTTTTTTTTTTTTTTTTTTTTTTTTTTTTAAAACCATATTTTGCACCTTTTTTTTTTTTTGCTGTTAAACCCTAATATGTACCAACCTTCAACAACTTCCAAGCCGCTTGATAAGCATCAGGGTTCTGCATGGAGAAAACATTTGTAAGAAGATAAAACATATATAGAAACATGACCAAGAACTTAAAATTGATAATGACCTCTATAGCAGTTTCATCTTCAAGATCACTGGACAAAACCCAATCAATACACAGTTTCCTGTGGCAAGCAACAGAAGCATGCAAAAGAGCCTGCAAATAGTATACCTTACAGATTAGTCAGTAGCAACATCAAACTTGCCTCCTCACAAGCCACAACACAAGATGTATGCAAAAACATGCACTTATTCATCCATTGGATTTAGATAACAAAGGCTCCACATTATCCCATGTATACAAGTGTTGGAGATCTTCAATACATGAATTAGAACAGAGTGAATATTCGTGTGTGTGTGTGTGTGTGTGAGAGAGAGAGAGAGAGAGAGAGAGAGAGAGAGAGAGAGAGGGAAGGGAAAGTTATTATAGTCACATATGGCTGAACCATCTTAGACATTCTCCCCACAAAGCATTCCTATGTTATTATGTTTTCTCTTGTTACACCACCATCCAACTCATGACTTCAACATACTTAGTGCAAGTGCACTCGAACTATCTTCCAGAGCTCCCATTTTAGCTTGGCAAGAATTGTCCCATCTTACAACCTACTGGATAGCTTCCACTATTGACCTTCAAGTATAAAGCAGGATATTGCAACTAAACAAAAGGGAAGAGCTATTAACCTTAAGCACACATACTTTCTCCTAGCTTCCATTCTCATTTTCTCATGTGTAATATTAGAGATTATCTCCTCCAAGAAGCTTTGAATCTGGACTGCCACTCTCCATCTAAGATTGTCTCTACTCTCACCTCCCACACCTCCAGCGGTCCAATTTTTTTTGGCAACCTCCAGCGGTATGCCAGCTCAATACCTACCATCTTCCCATAAGGCTCCACTCCAGGCTATCCACCGTCCACATGCAATTCGAGACAAGCAACATTTGACAGAAGCCATAATAATTAGACAACACTCTACAAGATGAGTCACGCAATCTTATAAAATACAAACTAGAACTAACAAATGTCTTAATGGGCTACATCTTCTGTATTGGTTGGGACAACCTACAGGACAGGTTAGATGGACCCAAGTGTTGAAATTCTCCCAAGCTCAGTGGTAAAATAAACATTTAGGTTACATGAGTTATGCAGACTCTTAGGAAAAGCCTCTAAATTACACTTTCATTCGTAGTTGTCAAGTCGAGAATCAAATCATGAATAGAAATCCTAATTTTATGAATCCTAAATCGAATTGAATAGAGAATCATCAAGATTCAATACAAGCTATAAAAAATAATGTCAAACAATTGTATATACAAATATATATACATATATATATATGATTTTGACATTTGTTATACCGTAGTTCTTATATGAGAAGATGATTACAATGCCTAGTTAGGAAGACAGCCTTCACAGCAAGATATGTGGATCCAAATCACTCCAATCATAACATTACTCAAAAACTACAACATCTCTCTTAACATTCAAAAATGGACCTAAGTGAAACCTTAAGTTTAAAACCTAAAACACTTCAAAAGTTGTGTATGCTAATTGTTCAAAAAAATTATTAAAACAAAAACAAAACAAAAAAAACAAACAGTTGCAGAACTATTGGGTCTGACGAGCAAACATAATATTACACCATAATCATTTCATCAAAATAATAATAAATAATTTATGAGTGCAAGTTACATTAATCTTAAACATCATTGAACAATGTATTATAACATTTTTCTGAGGCAAAAAAAAAAAAGAAAAAAATGTTAAAGAACATGTTGAATCTAATTAGATCTTACTAAAAATCCTTTGAACAAAAAATCATGCATAAGTATTACTTATTTTCATACTAAACACTATTTAAAAGTTGTATTATGTCACATTCAAAACAACAGCAAAAAAAAGGGATCAGAATCTGTTGGACCCAATAGTTTCAAGAATTGCATGAATCATAAAAAGTTAATCAAATTGTGAATAGATTGTAAATCGTATGATTCAACATAAATTCTATCCCATGTGAATTGATTGTAAATCGTATGATTCACCATAAATTATATCCCAAAATAGATCACCCATAAATTCGCATCAATCCATACATGAATCACGAATCAAATCACTAATCATAAGATCCTAACAACAGAACTTCCATTCGTCGACCAAATTTGTTTTTTGAAGGCTTCATTTAATTTTATAATATTAATCCTTAAAACTTATCTTTACCAACTATAACACCGATACCCTTCTCCAAGTGACCAACACTTCATTCATACTGGAAAGCACCAATTTTATCATAAATAGTGCTTCTAAAAAACAGCCTCGCCCTGAAGCGCTACCCTAGACTGGAAGCTGCAGCAATTCTGGTTGACCAATTAAGTCATGCCAAGTTCAGCTGCTCAAGAAAGTCAGAAAAATTGGTAATCCATCTTCATCCGCTGGAAGCTGCAGATGATCAAAACCATCCTTTCCCTGTTGACAAGCAAAATGGCACAAGACTGGCTTGATCCCAAAAAATGGCATTTTGCCAGCCATTAAAAAAAACTAAAAAGTAATGGCATCAGAGATAGGATGTTTCATTCACAGAAAATTAGATAATCCATCTCCATTCTCTGGAAGCTGCAGATAATCAAAACCATCCTTTTCCTGTTGACAAGCAAAACAGCACAAGGCTGACTTGATCCCCCCAAAAAAATGGCATTTTATCAGCCATTAAAAAAACCTAGAAAGTAATGGCATTAGAGATAGAATCTTTCATTCATAACCTAGAAAAAGATGCAAGGAGATTTATATTGCAAATAGAATGCTGTCATTAACTACAGTATATGAATTACTGGAAGCACAAATATAGCTGACAAGGTAACTTGGAAGGCATAAATAGCTGAGTTCACCTTTAGGACAGACAGGTAAGAATCTGAAAGGCCTGTATATTTTCCAACCATGGCAATTCGGACCTGTGAATAAAAATGACATAAATCGTAATACATGGGCAGCAAACAATAGACAAATCTGAATCCAAGAAATGCTAGGAACCTACAGGCTCGTGTAACCTGTCACAGAGTTCAGCCCTAGATGTCCATTCCTTCAATGTAGGTATGCCGGCAACACTACATGAAATAAACTCAATCTCATCACTATGCCAGCAAAAGACCAAAACTTTAAATCACAAAAATTTCGTCCAGCATAACAGATGAAAACGAAGAATTGAGATCAATAGACAAACCTTGATAGCTTCAGCACTTTCAAGATTGCCTCATGTGCCTTCTGATTCTAATTAAGAGGGAAAACACATATTCACGGGCTTGCTGAAAAATGGACTAGTGGAAACTAGAGATGAGAATAAACTTCAAATCAATCACAGAAATCACTTACTTTTAAAAGCAAAGGAACATGCCAGATGTTGGACACATCATAGAGAGTGATGATATTTTGTTCCTGGAAAACATGTGGGTTTAACGAAGTACAACTTGCCAAGCAGATAGATAAATATACCAAGGAATGTGACAGCCAAAAGAAATTTTCAAAAAGGAAAGCAAGAAAGAAATCAAAATACCGGAACATGGCAAAATTGAGAGAGTTTGGTCACCACATTTTCATCAAGTTCCTGAAAATGCATTCAGGTATCATCACATGTCAAATCATGCACAAGTACACACATGCAAAGGTAACAAGTATGATCGATGCACATATTGATGGATAGATAGATAGATAGATAGATACATAGAAAGAGAGAGAGAGAGAGAGAGAGAGAGAGAGGGACCGTTGTGCTGCGGCAAGCTAATATATTTGGCGTCAACCCCTGACTTCTTAGTCCCCTAACACTATGCTGAGTTGGTTTTGTTTTCTAAAACATGGTAAATAAAATTACTAGTCATTATACTGACAATGCAATTTCTGTAATAGTTAAACATAAAAAAATGCCCCTGCTTCAACAGTATAAGAGGCAGAGTGTGTGAATTATGCGTCTTAGAACTTTACCTGCTCACCAACGACATTCAAAACAGGCACCAGGCTGACATGTATCAAGCAAAAGTTGCCATCACCTGAAAAAGGGAGCATTTACAAAAAGAAATCAAACAGATTAAAGATGTAATAGGTAAGGTGATCTGACCACTTCTAGCTCTTTGAAAAGAAAGTAGTTGATTACATTTGTACTATAAATTGAATTCATATATGCTTACCCACACGGCAGGAGAACTGTCCTAGAGCCTCAATGAATGGCATTGACTCAATGTCCCCTACATAAAAAAATAGAAACTTTTTAGCTAACAAAAATAGTAAATCAACTCATGTTGCCACACATCAAGACTTTGTTGTTAATATACCTATAGTACCACCCAATTCAATGACACAAACATCAGCTGAACCTTCTTTTCCATCCACTGGAATCATTGCTACACGTTCAATCCATTCTTGAATGGCATCGGTGATGTGCGGGACAACCTGTCCAAAGGAAACAAAATTTGAAAACAGGGAATATGCATGGGAGGTGACTTTTAAGAGAGAGTACAATGTACACTTCTAACATTTGAATTCAACAGTAGAGAAAGACCTGAACAGTTTTCCCCAGATAGTCTCCCCTTCGCTCCTTGTCAATTACGGACTATCACACAACAACAAAAGGTAAATGATTCAATAATCCAGGATCTTAAGAATCTCCAGCAGCAACCATGTGATACACTAGAAGACTGAGCACACTACGTGTGCAATTGAAACTGTCAATAAGATCATGGATGAGAGAGAGAGAGAGAGAGAGAGAATGTGTTTTTGCAGAGGCAAACAGTTGATTTTACTTTTTAGTCCTTGCAATAACTGATAGACAAAAGTAAATATTTGGAAAAAAAAAATTTAGTGGTGTTGTGGTTTTTGGGAAAAAAATTGTGTGACAAAGGTTCACACCAAATTGAGCTGTGTAATAAAATAGATAAGATCATGCCCAATTTATATCACTTGCCTGATAAATTTTTCCAGTCGTGATATTATTGTCCCGTGTCAGCTTGATATCTAGGAAGCGCTCATAGTTTCCAAGGTCCAGGTCCACCTTCAAACAAAATGGTTTAGTACTTCTGTCGGTATTACATGAAAATTTGCGGCTCCGATTGGTAAGCCTCTCAAATTATAATTCTATACATTGATTTGAGTGTATTGTTTGCTTTGAGCTTTCAAATCATAATTCTACACACATTTCTCAAAACTCAATTCAAGACATAATCATTACTTTTCAAAACTCATAACCAAACACATAATTCAAAATTCTTTTCAAAACTCAATTCAATTCAAATCAATATTTTAATTTTTTAATATTTTAATATTTAAATATATTACGATTTTTTTAACTTTTAAATTTTTTGAATATTTTTAAATATTTTAATTTCAAAATATTACGGTTTTAATTTTTTAAATTTTAAAATATTTTATAAAAATAAATTCAAACTCTATTTTATAAAAATATTTTTAAATATTTTAATTTTTTTGTTATGTATTTAATTATGATTTGAGTGTAGAGTAGAGTTGTGAAAGTAGTATAAAGTTTCAAATTATGTGTTTGATTATGAGTTTTAAAACTAATTTCTTAATTGAGTTTTGTTTTATATGTTTAGTTACGATTTGAGTGTAAAATTGTTTTTAAATTTAAAATATTAACATTTTAAATTATTTAAATTTTTACGATTTAAATTTTTTGAATATTTATTTTAATTTTTTACTTATTAAATTTTTTAGATTTTTTGAATATTTATTTTGAAAAAAAAAATTATTTCCATTATAGTATTTTCAATTAAAAAATTGATTAATGTTATTTTCTGTTAATAATAAATTTTTTTAATTGAATTTTAAAAAGAATTTGGTTATGAGTGTTGATCAGAATTTTTAATAGTGTGAAAGTAGTGTGTTTTGTTATGAATTATAACAATTTAAATTAAATTTTGAAAACTCTTTTCAAAACTCATAACCAAACAAATTTTTCTTACTTCACATGTCAAATCAAACTTTTAAAACTCAATTCAACACTCTATTCAAAAATCATAGCCAAACAAATTTTCTACACTCAAATCATAATTCCACAACTCACAAACTCAAAATACAACTCATACTCTCAAATCATATTTACAAAACTCTACCAAACGCAACGTGCAGTTCTCCAAATCCATTTCAGGCAAAAACAAGAGTTTGTTTTCAGATGCAAAACAAGGAACATGAGTAGCAAAAAGCTATAAAAATTGCGAATTATATATGATGTTGAAGTGGAATCTCCATCAAATTTGTCAACTTCATTAATTTTTTGTCGATTTCAAAGCAATAGCGCATATAAGTCCACATTTCATCTCAACCGTAACCTCCAAAGTCACAGGAATTCATTTAATGGATGAGAATAAATAACTCCTTGTGAAATAACTCTGATGAGAAGAAAAAATATGGCATCAAGAGAACTTCTTAGTTTGTTCAAAAAAAGAAGGAAAAAAAAAAGAAAAAAGAGAGAGAACCTCTTAACCCATCCCTAGTCACCCCATTTCAAGGCATTTCAAGTCAAGAGACAGATAAATTGACACATCTCATTGCACAAATCTCGGGTGTCTTTAGTGATTGAGGGATTTAAAGACCAAGAAGTGAGATATTTGACTTGTTGACTCTGCTTTTGCTTTCTATCTTTGTCCATAAAATCTTTAAAGTTTAATTAGAGAAAATAAAGGGGGCAACCACCAAGGGATCGTCCTAGTTGGTAAGGGAGTTTGCTCCTCTCCTTATTGACCAAGGTTCAAATTCCCTATTACTCAAACGGAAGTCTGACAGTTTAAGTGAATCAACTAGTTTTCCCTCAGTTTGACTTGTAAGGGGAGATTGCAAAGGTGGACCTTAAGGATCCTGCCTTGAGGTGTTCTGGGCATCGAAAAAAAAAATAAAGTAGATAAATAAATAAATGGGGCAAAAGAAATATTGTTTAGTATAATGAAACAAACTTATCCAAGTTTCATCGCTTTCATCATCAGTAACTATCTAGTATAATGAAACAAACTTATCCAAGTTTCATAGCTTTCATCATCAGTAACTATTTAGTATAATGAAACAAACTTATCCAAGTTTCATTGCTTTCATCATCAGTGACTATTTTGTAATGTGATGCCAAAATGACCCGGTACCTACATTTTATTCCGGCAAAGAAACAAAACACCTCATACGAATACGATCTCAAATTAACAACTCAAATTATAAAATCTTCCTCCTCAGATCTCAGAAGTCTGAACTTCCAAGAATAATAAGAAAACAACAAGCCCAACCTTGAACATAAGAAATTACAATAAAACTACATAAAAATAGAAGTCACAAGAGTAAAATAAAGGGTGCTTCTCATACCTCTCCGCCATCATCAAGGACAAACACTTCCCCGTGCTCAAAAGGAGACATCGTTCCCGCATCAGTGTTCAAGTAAGGATCTGAATGAAAGAACAAACGGTGATTAAGAAATAATTACTTTTTTCTCAACTGGGTTCTGTAATTTGAGAAACAAAAAATAAAAAGGCAAAAACCATGAGACAGAACCTTTTTCGAACCTTACAATTTTAAAGCCCATTCATAAGGGGGAAATAAAAAACAGAGAAAGACTAGGAAATTTTTCAAGACTGGAAATTTAACAGGGGTCTCAAAGGCAATTTTTTTTTTCTTCAAATATTGCAATATCGGAACAAATCAACGGCGATTACACCCCCTAATGCTGCCAATATGTAGGGGAAAAAATTCTAGAAGTTTTAATTTGAAGTTAACTGCAATTCACAAAACAAAATTTCATATAAGATGGAGGTCAAAACAAAAGTATGCTGCTTTAAAAATAAAAAATAAAAAAAACTCCATAAAAAGTAGTAAAAAAGACATCCAGATTCCCAGCTAAGTTCTGGATATAGAACAAAGTAAAATCAGTACAAAAGAGCCTCTCTTTTTCCAATAATACAAAACCCACATTCCAGGACTAAAAGACTTGTGCAAAGAGAGTAGAAACATACAGAAAACAAATTTCCCAGAACAGAAAGAGAAAGAAAAATAGAATATGGTTTTGGTTTTTCTTTTTAACACAAGGGGTCAACGGTTTCTCTTCTTCAGACCTAAAAATTGAAAACCCAAGAAGGCAGATTTCAAGATTTCAATAGAAACACAGCAAAAAACAAAAATACACAAAATGGGTATATATGTATATACATCTATATATTTACAAATTTATGCATATCTCTGTTCTCTCTCTAACCTTCATGTTCTCAGTGTGTGTGCGTGTGCGTGTGTGTGTGTGTGTGAGTGTGTTTGAAGAAAGAGAACAGACCAATCTTAATAGAAGTAACACGGAGGCCACACGCCTTGAGAATGAGGCCAATGCTACTCGCGGTCACTCCTTTACCAAGACCGCTCACTACTCCACCAGTCACCAACACGTACTTCATCTCTCCCTTTCTTTCTCTTTCTTGTTTTCTGTTTTTTTTTTTCCCCTCTTTTTGTTTGTTTTTCTCTTGTTTTGAAATCAACTTAACTCACAAGAAGCCCTCTTGTTCTTCTTCTTGTCCTGTAAAGATTGACTTGAGTGGCTATATTGGGAAAAAGCAAAGATTGAGAGTAATGGGTAACTATTTTTGCCTAGAGAGCAAACGGAGAGATGGATATTTGAAGAGTGAAAGGAACAGAGAGTATGAGAAGGAAAAGAAACAGAGAGAGAGAGAGAGTGTTTGGGGGAGTGGAATATTGAAAGGAAAGTGAGGGAAAATGAGAAGGGAAATGAGAAAGAAAATGGAGATTGGCGGTGGGTAAAAGGAAGAATGAGAAAGGAGATGTGGCGGTGGCGTGGAAGAGGTAGAGAGAGGCAATGGCGGCTTTTATAGGTATCATAGACACACAACCAAACCTGTAACGATTTCCCATTTAATATAGTCATAAATTAAAATTATAAGTCAAATTGAAGAAAATAAAATTAAAATCCTATAAACCCTCCTCCTCAAAATATATATTTTTGAAACCCTGCCTACCCGACCCGGCTGCCGCCTTGGTTTTTCAATTTCAACTTCAAAAAAGCCTGTTGCGTTTGGTAGAGTTTTATAAATATGATTTGAAAATATAAGTTATATTTTAAGTTTGTGAGTTTTGAAATTATTATTTAAGTGTGAAAATTTTATTTGGTGAAAGAGTTTTGAATTCAGTAGAAAATTTTTGATGTGACATATGATATTTGATACAAAAATTTACAACTTATAATCAAATATACAATTCAAAATTTTATTCAAGCACAATAAAAAAATTCAAAAATTCGAAAAATATTTTTTTCGAATATATAAAAATTAACATATGTCAATTGCAAAAAAAATAAATATTGCGCCGTTCCGGTCAATCGGTCGGACGACTGGTGAGACAACCGGTTAGGCCAAATTTTAAAAAAAAAATTTTGAAAATCGCTCCTCAGACAGAATTTTGTGTAGAGTTTTGTAAATATTGTGGAAATGTGATTTGAGTGTGGTATCCAAGCATCATGTTGGAATGTGGAGGTAGAAATATAGTTTGGAAATCATTCCAAACAGAGCCGAGGGCTGTTTTAAGAAAATAGTTAAAAGTTAGTTTTTTTTTTTTTTACTTTTTTTTACTTTTTAAATATATATATATATATATATATATATAAAATGAAATATGATGAGATTCAAAATTAATTAAAAGCTAAAAGATAGTTTTTAACTATCTTTTCAAAATAGCCCTAAGTAAAAAAATTATAAATAAAATCTCATGCCATATAAAAAAATAAATTTTGAATAATAATTTAATAAATTTAAATAATAATTTTTTATTTATAATATAAATCATCCATCAATTTTTGTTAAATAAATTCAATGAAAAAGTTTATTTTAATCATGAAACTCACTGTATACATAAAATGTATAAAGTTTCATTTAATTTAATAAATAAAATATTATTTTTTTAGTTAGTTTTATTTAATAAAAATAGACAAATGACTTAGATTGTTACAAGCATCAAATTCTCAATTTTTTTTTTATTTTGTAATTTTGCCCAAAATTGTTTGTTTTCAGTTATATATATAAAAAAAAAATAAAAAATAAAAAATAAAACGAAGAAGAAGAAGCTAAGAACCCATGTAACTTTTCCAATTAAAAAAAATAAAAAAATTATGTCTTTGTATTTAGTGATAAAAAATCTCATAAGAAATTCATTTGTGTATAATAATACCCTTTATTTATTTTAAAATTTAGCTGAGTTTTTAACATTTACTAAAAGAAGTGATATGTGTCAAAAATTATAATTCAAACAAGAGTATGTATACAAATTTATATCATGAAAGTGAGACTTGTTTGAATTTTTTAAATTTTTACTATTATATGACACATCAATTAATAAAAAAAAATAATCAAAATTTATGAATTTGTATAATATCTTCCTTAAAAAAAAATCTTAATTTTTTTGTCAAACCACCTCTTGTCACGGGGCCCGAACGAAGACAGTAGTGAATAGGCGTATAACCCAGCAAAATATCATAATAATAGATAATAGATTTTCCTCTATTTTCATTTTAAAACCAGATTGCTTTCCCACCTGTTTTCTAGGGTTTCTCTCTATCCAAACATCCCAGCCTCCACATCTCCCTACTCTTTTTCTTCCTTTATGATTTATTTATACTTGCTAATTTTTATTGGTTGAATATTCGTATTAAATATTTATTTAAATATATTATCCAAACATAGAATCAAAAACTTCGTATAGCAAAATACAGGTTTTCTAAACGGCTGACTCACCGTTCAAACAAATAAACGGCTGACTCATTGATATGGACATGTTTCTTTTAGGAAAAATTACCCATTAACCACGTTTAAACCGAGGCAAATTTAAAATACATTACCATAAAAATTAAAAATTAAAAATAATGCTAATTATTCAAAATAATATGGAGTGAAAAATTTGACCCCAAAAAAATAAAAATAAAAATCAATACATTAAATTGCATTACTGTAAAAAGTAATGATAATTATTCCAAATAATATGGAGACCAAAAATTGACTAAAAAAAAAATTCAAATAAGATAAACCACTTTAACTATCAATAGTTATATGTCATCTTTCAATGAGTAAATGTACAAATTCATAAGTTTTATAAATTTTTATTACCTATAGATGTGACATCGGTTATATTGAAGTGAGTTCTGTTTTAGATTTTAAAATATCATTATTGTATCTCTTAGTAAAAAAAATTATAATATATTTTAAATTTTTTATAACATTTTTCTATTTCAATTACCAAGATTTGTATAACCATTTGGCTACATTTGTCAATCCCGCAATTGGTAATTGACACAATTTTCACAAACCATTAAATTTTATTGAGCACACAACAATTCATTACTTGGTACTTGAAATCAAATACTAAGAGTGAGAGAGAGAGAGAGCACTGTATGCTACAATGATGCTCTCACTCATCATAGAACGAAAAAAGATGAAACCATGCATGCAAGATGAGTATGAGACTCAACAGTGATGCAGGCGAAAACAAGTCATCGTGTCGTTAGATGGAGAGGCAAAGGTAATGGCAATGTTCATCATCGTTGTCATGGTGGTAGAAGCACAAAGATAAGGGGTAAAATCGTACAAATCTTAATCTATGTTCAAGTAATAAATTAAGGTCCATTAAATTTATTGAAGTGTTCTTATTCAATTATAAAATTACGTATTGAGGGCTATTGGTCAATTTTTTACTTTTTAAAAATAAATAAGTTAAAAATGACAATATAGTGGGGAAGGAAAGGATATTCCAACAATGGGATTGGGATAAAAGGTTGTCTTTCCTCACTTTCCGAAAGTTCTAATGGAGAGAGAGAGAGAGAAAAAAAAGAGAGAAAGGAATGGAAAATGGGAATTGTGGTGGTCAAAACTCAGAAAGAGAAAAGGCAAAGGAATGGGAAATGGGAATTGTGGTGGTCAAAACTTGATCAAATCAAAAAGTAATAATTTAAATCCATCCAATTGAAAAAGGAAGGAATGAGAATCGTTTATCCTTATGTTTCAAGAAATGCCACCTAACACCCAAACCAACGTCCCACGGCATAATCAACCACCCATCATTATGGCCAAATATAATAAGTAAATTATCCATGCATTTTAATAGTTAAATTTAATTTTTATTATGGTCTATTGAAAATAAATTTTAGTATAATTATTGCTAAAAATAATTTTTTGTAACGATTAAAAATTGATAATTAATGACTTTTTTGTTACGATTTTTATAAATTGACGCTAAAATTTACAATTAGTGATATTTTTTTGTAATAAATTTTTCAAACTGTCGCGGAAAGTTAAAAATTATCGACTTTTTTTGTGACAATTTTTTTAATCTATTGCTAACATTTATAATTAGTGACATTTTTTGTGATAATTTTTAAACTGTCGCTAAAATTTAATAATTAGTAATATTTTTTAATAATATATGATAAAAAATGTCATTAATTATCATAAAACTTACTAAACAATAAGTCTATTTAATAAGACCACACATAAATCCCCCAAATATAATTTCAATGTCAAATATGACACAAATTTATAACAACAGTGATTTAGACCTCCTCAAATTTCAACCCCCACCACCCCACACACACGTGGCGGGTGGTGATTGGAGGAGGAGAAAAAAAAGAAAAAGAAAAAGAAAAAGTGACCAATCAAAAAAGAAAGGAGATCAAAAGGGGTAGGAGAAATGGGGTCTCAATCTTTATTCAATTTATAAATAGTTAATTACAACAACGCCTTTATCATCTTTTTAGTTATAAAAATATATCATTTTTATTTCTTCCATATTACTTTCAAAAGGGATTTTTTTTATATGATTTTTAAAATTGAGAGGATCAATATGTATAAATTTGTATATGATAGAGTAAAGTGATATTTTAATAGTTAAAGAAATTTTGATATGATTAACACTTTATAAATTGATGGTGATATGTTTTGGTGCAATTGTTGTGTGCATAGGACATAAAATGATTCCCTCTTTTTTCTTTGTCTTGCTGAATTTATTTCTGATTAATTTTCTTAGATGCGCGAATAAAAGTAACATAATATAAAACATTTTGTTAATTATTATTCTAAGAATATTTGTTAATAAATGTGAAATAATGTTACGTTATATGTGTTATAGTTAATATATAATTATTTTAAGTTTGTTAACCGACTTGTACCATATTAAATTTCAAATATATTTTACAAACTTAATAACTTTTACCATATTAAGTTTCAAAGACGTTTTACAAAATTAAAAAGGTCTCATAGTTATGTAAAAATTAAAAAATTAATTTTTTAATATAGTGCTAAAAATTGGCAACAAGATCTACGGTTAAAGTACTTAATCCAATTTGTTCTACCTCATTAAATAAAATAAAATATTTGTCACTTTAATATTTTATCATGCATATATTATATTATATCTGTATCTCATATGCATACCCATACTAAGCATACCCCTCGTGCTTTCAATTTAAATATATTTGAAATATGATTTGTGTATAAAATTGTTAAATCAACATCTATTAATTTCTTGAATTTATAATCACCTCCTCTTTCATCTGAGGGTTCATTCAGGATGTGAATTGGCTTTTTAACTTTTTGATTATTTTAGCTTATGTTAAAAAATCTCGTTTGGGATAAATTTTTTGACTTTTTTAAGAGAAAAAATGAAATGATTATGATTTAGATGTAGTATTTTGTCTTATTAAATTAAAAAGTTTATTTTATTTTTTTATGATTATTTTAACTGAAAAACTCTATTTTAATTTATGCCAAATGAAGACTGAATATTTATATATACATCCTTTATGTTGGATTTATAGACAAATATTGGTTATTGAGCTCGA